GTATTGATGAAGTATTGGCTTTTTACTTGCGAAGGATTGCATTCACGATAGCTGTCGTCAGCTCAAGTAATCTCCAGCGCGGCCTCTCTGCTCTGCTGACCGCTGACTTTGCTCCATGTGAGTGTGTCTTGTGTAGGAGCTCATGAGAGCAGGATTTACATGATTTCAACACGGATTTGTTGTGGACAATGTAACGTGAGCATAATCAAGGAAAACATTGGGTGCATCAATGGTGAGTTTACTGCGTCCTTTCAGATCAACATCACTGCGGCTCCCAGCACACCTGTAGCCGGTAGCGATGACAACGCTGACAAAGAAATGCTGCTTTGTCATGCCTACCCATTGGCTGTTTGGAGGGTAGCTGGATTTGTGGTGTGTTCAAGCACAATGAATTATATTTTTTTCATGCACACGCTTTAGAAACAGTGTAATCAGCTGTAAGTGATTGCCCCCTGTAAAAACATTTTTACTTTTACTCCCAGAACGGTGTTCCCATGCGTTCCCCAATTTCCACCACTGATTATACCTCATTATGATAGGAACATGCTGTTTTCTTTTTTCTATTTTCCTGTGCATATTCACCTGTAAAATCTGTGAAACTGCAAAATATTATCCTACAGCATGACAGGAGGTTTAACTCAGCAGGGGAGGGTCAAAATTGATTAATCTGCTCTACAACATGCAGTTTCTCTGAATTATCATACTAACAGAATCATATGCACGCAGTAAGGAGTATCTACTAATTTCAGGGAAAGGTTGACACCTCTGAATGCACTACAGCTAATTCACTAAGACCAGAATATCAGCCCCCTTCTGTCATAAATGGTTAGCTGACAGTATGGCTCAACCTTCAGAGCTGGTAATCATTCTGGTTCAACAACTGATCTTTGCAAATTCAGCCACACGTCACATTTCATTCAGTTAGTGGTTGCCGACAACCTGTACCAAGTTGTGGTGTTATTTTATGACGAGTGGACACAGATGAGATGCATACTGTATGTTTCTATGGCAACTACTATACCCATGAGCCTGGGCAACGCCCGACTAATTACACAATCAGACAGCTCATGTACTTATATGTCTTTTCCACTGTCACTCTCGTTTCAGCACTGTTTCACACAATTGGTGGCAAGTGGTGTTCTCTATGACAAAGACTCACTCTTAAAGGGATGCTGACATGTAGTTATTCAAGATAAAGATTTTAATTGTTTCTTTGCAGATATATATTTACATGAGTAGTTCTGTGCAGACTAACATCTCTGCCTTGTCCCTTAAAATTATTTTTGTCTTTGTGAGTGTGTGTGTGTGTGTGTGTGTGTATCATCATGGTAAAATGTGGACCTGGAGACACTGTAGTACTGTAACGGGAACTACCACATAATGTCTGTCTTTCTGTCAATGGACAGATTTTGTCAATGTGAACAGTGCAAGATGCAATCGTGAAACTTTACAGGTGCTTAGATCAAAATGAAGGCCAAGTTCGAAGATGGGTGCTGGAAGTAGGATGGTAGGGAAGTAGGGAAGGGGTCAGTAACTGTCAGGAAGCATGTTTCATCTCCTACACATTCTCATATCACATCTTTGTTGCTCACTCATCACATAAAACCTTGCTTTCAGACATCCCCAGTAGTATAATGAGACAACAGTGTCACCTACGGGCGGAGGAGATATCTACACTCTACTTCTTCATGTGCGGTCAGGCTCCTGGCCACTGTAGAGGTGAAAATGTATTTTTACATCATTCATGCCACTCCTGCACACGTTCACTTGTGAGACATGCAGAACATGTGCTCTTCATGCAGAGTTATTAATACAGCCTGCCAGATGCCAAGCAAATAGGCATGGAGTTCAAAAGAACAAGAAGGGAAAAAGGATTCTGAATAATTAATTTTTTCTGTTGCACTTCTCATTATTGTAATTACACAGCCATTGTTCTTTGACAGAGGGGAAAAGTAAAATTACAATTTAGACAGCAAAATTGTCATTTGTAGCAGTAATTGACACTAATAAAATGATTTTCCCTGCTTTTCCCTTGGATCATATGCTAATCAAAATGTGAAGTATTAAAGAAGACACTAACGGGCGTGATAAGCAGCTAATGAAAGAGGGAGGCAAGTGGGACAGTAATAGACATACCCCCTGCTAATAAGTTCCTGTTCATTAGAGCATGCAAACTGTACCCTCCTCCTGTCTTGTCTGTTTCTTCTGACTGACAGTTTTGACAGCCTTTCCAGTCAAAGGGAGACTTTTGACCGCATCCTCAAATAAAGCATTAATATTTCACACTTCCACTAAGCAAGTTATAAACCGCTTTATAAACGGATCAGTAGTGTACTATTATTGGAGGGTGACATAAGCCTCTACTTGACTCTATTTAAAAATAGATGACGCTGTCTATAATGCCAGCACACTGATGACATTTACTTGTGTCTGAGGGGATGTCTTCACTGCCTCTCACGATGTTGGTAGGCTGACTCACACAGAGTGGAGTTGATATGACAGACTTTGATCTCTCCCACTCTATCTCTCCCTTTTGCTATTCCCCCAGTGGACTTCTGCATATGTCGACCCACATACACCCTGAAAAAGCAGAACGAAGATCCATGAAATGAGATGCCAAATACCAGGGTCTCCTTGTGACATGGCAAAAAAAAAAAAAGCTGCAGAAAGAACAAAAAAAAAGAAGAATAAGCAGGTAAAAACATTGGCCATAATGAGAAGTGTGAGACTTTAGTTCGCTGCTGATGGGCGTATTAATCTTACTGCAATAAAATCTGGTCAGGCATTCCACAGTGGGACGGCACAGAACGTGGCTTAGGTCCCAAATTACACCCTGGAGGCACTTTACCCTTTAAAAAGAGGATGGGAAACTGCTGCAAAAAATTTAGAAAATAGCACCTGTGTTACAAATGGGCAGTAGACGGGATACTGGGAGTGCCAGAGGCGACTTATTGGTAACCCAGGCAGGTAGGACGGAGTCAGAGAGCAGGAAACTCAGGAGTGGTGGATTTTACCATTAGGACTGTAGCAGTCTGGCGTGTGTGAGGAGATGAGGGGAACTCTCAGAGATAATCATGCTAACACTGAGTTCCCTCATTACCGCTGAGGCTGAGCTGTGGGCAGGGGTCCAAGTCACACACACACACACTCAGAGAGAGAAAGAGTGAGAGTTTTCAAAGTGAGCTCAGTGTGGAGAGCACAGCACTAAGCCAGTATGTTGATCTCAGGGACCTATGGAACGAAAAAACATGATCAGTGCCAACCTATTGGTAGTGCAATGCATGTTTTATTGTAGTTTTTAAGATTATTAATTATTTAGACTCATATAAAAGTAATTTTGTATGATGACGTGGCTCAATAGATGCATAAGAACAAACTAATTGAGTTTATTTCTTAAGCATCATCTCTTGTTTCCCTCTACACGACTCTGCTGCAAAGGCTCCAAAAGAAACCTGACATACTTTCTGACAGACTTCTCCCTGTTTCAGCCTATTATACAGTTCAACCCTCCTCAAAGTCACTTCAATTATCAACATGATACTGTTAGTGCCTCCGGTCCCAAGAGGTATAGTAGTGGTACAAGGCTACAGATCAGATTTAGATCTCAGATCAAAGATGTTCCATTTTGCCCAAACCCTAATTGGCGTCAGGCAAAAATAGAATGTTTGAACTCCCTCTGATCATTGTCAGTGTAGGGCAACAGCGCATATAAAGGGTGACAGAGTTCAGTAAAATAAAATAAAAAATGCTTTCTTGACACTTTTACATCTGCATGGATACTGTTTGTTCAGTCTCTCCAATTTTGATATGGAAAGACATGCTCTGCATTCGGATGATGTAAACTAGAAACAACAACAAAACAGGACCAACATGTTTTGAGGAATTTGGAAAACAAAGCTAATCACGTTCACATTCACAGTCTTTCTTTAATAGTACAGCCTTGCAGTGCACTATGGCTGATTTGAGTAGAAACATGATTTTGTTAAGATAAGAACTTGGCTCAATATAACATGACATTTACAGTATTATGTGATGCCCTCTTCAAATACAGCACATCTCGTGAATGCCACAGAAATACCTGACACCTGCCTGCCAGGAAAGTGGTTTAGCATATTTGAACATAGACAGATAATTCACACAATGAAGCTGCTTTTGATTCTACAGTCCTTTCATCGTTGCATGATGCACACTGACATTTATAGGTGGCATACCAAAGTTAATTATTATCTGTCAGTCTCCACTCAGACACCTGTGGATCACAGCATTTCGTTAAAAGTTATTGTAAGAGGTGATCAAAGTTTGATTTGATTGTGATGTGGTCATCCATTAGTTCTAGGTGGGGCCCAAATAAGCGTGTACTAAATAGTGATCATATTTCAAACACTTGCATAGTGTGAATTCAGTGTGCAAATTTCAAAGCTGAAAGAGGCCACTGTGTCAGAAGATGCAGTGGAAAAAATAGGTACATTTGTAAATGTGTAACCCATACTTACGGTCTTTTCAGGCACACAGCCACTAATGTTTTTCTACAATGCAGTTGCAGCGACTTCCAAAAGGAGCAAATCCTCTCAAGGTCTCTTGCCTAAACTGTCAGCACCTCGTTCATCATGATGAAATTAGGCAAACAAATGTTGGGCAACATAACAACATGGGGAAGTTTTCTTTAAAGGTTAAACTCTATTTTAAGCAACTAAATGAACAATTGCTTTAAGCAATTTAAAGTTCTCTCTGTGGGCTATACAGTAAGTCTCCTCACGCGTGTGTGCTTTTCTGCTTGAGTGAGCATGTGTTCGTGTCTTTGTGTGTTTGAGAGAGCAAGTGAAAGGGAACAGTGTCAATAGGGAATGTAAAAAGTTGTGTCAGGTGCATGCGTGTGGTGTGGTTGTGTTTTATGACTGTGTGTGTGTGGGTGTGCATTATGCAAATACCTACCTGGTATGAGCCTGGCCAGGTAGCCAATTGGAGCGGGATAAGGAAGTTAGGAGGATAAAACACCCATTGTGGTGGGGCAGCACCTAGTGTGTCTTCATGCTTTCATCTGTTAATTCAATGATTTTGACTCACCTCGTCTCACTGTAAACACTAGTCATCTAGCATATTGGAATTTCCAGAAGCTGTATTGATCTCTATTCAGCCGTCTTGAGAGTGGATCTACGTGAGACATCTATCAGGCCTGGTCGGACCCCATTCTACTGCTCTGGTAGGCTGTCAAACTGGTGCTGGGCAACCAGCAGTGCACAGCGTGTTTTTAAAAATGGCATTTTTTGAACCTTAAAAGACTTTTGTGTAATCGCACAAAAAGCATTTGGAATTTTTGTGTGTTTCTGTGTTTTTCCACTGGATTTAGAGCTCCGGCTAACTCTAAATCTTTAATTAAAGTGTGATAAGAGGGTAGATAACAATATGATTATCTGTATCACAGCATCTGGAATTTTACGTTTTCAAAAACATTAGAGACAGTAAATAATGAAACTTGACTAGTGCAAACAAACTGACCCATTTACCCTCAAATGATTATATACCAAATTCCTTAAAGAATGTTGTTGCAATGCTATACACAATAATGCATTGCCTTTAATATGTTCCCCTGCACTCGCAATTTTTCAGCACACTTTCATACTGTCTGCACTGCACAGTTTAAAGTGTAGGTTAGTTTCAAAAGCAAAATTTACTAGATAGGTAAACAAAAAACTAAAGCAAAAATAGAGAGAATTTAAACATAGTTAGATTCAACGTTTCATAAGGCCACTATGACTGAAATGAAACCAAGTCCTTTGATTTGTGTGAACGTCAGATAAGCGTTGCTTATCTCCTGATCACAACGGCATATGTAGTGGAGTGATTTCTCACTGTGATCTGACAGGATATTGATCCGTAACTGTGACTAGTTCTTTGTTTCATGTCTTTGCACTGCTACATTTCTTTACTAACTGCCTTGTTGATAAGATGCCTGCTCTGCAGTAGTATAAGGTGTTATAAGATATAAGGTGTTTGAGTTGACTTGGCAGATTGTCAGCCGAGGAGCTGATCTACCTTGGCATGACTGCATGTGTTACCACATCTGCTGGGGAAATCGCATTCAGGGATCTTGACTTTAGGTTGTTATAAAGTAGGTTTGCCTGTTATTTAAGGAGATTTGATTGCCTGTCTGTATGTCACAGATGTATTAGACTGGCAGCACTGTATTTACAGTTGAAATGTGGAACAGGGCTTGGTGTAAATTTGTTTATAACCTACCATAAAAGTGTGAACAAGATCTTCCAGGGAACAGGTGAAGTACAGGTCACTGTGTAATGAATTAGATTCATTGTTTTTCAACATCTGAAACAGGTGTCACTCATCATGTTGACATTTTCACAGCTTGATTATGATATAGTATAACTCAATAACATTTACAGTGCCAGTGTCAAAAACAGTCCAAAAAAACACATTTCTTTTCTAAGACAGAGAATGTCCAGTGCAAAGCCACGAAGCTTTGTAAATGTAAATGATAGAAAATGTTGAAAGGGGCATGGTTTGTGTAAATAACACAATGATAGATTAGAATGTATAATGTGGAGCAGTCATTACATTTGGCAGCAGTATTGGTGTATTAAACTATCTGGCATTTTTATGTCCTAAACATTCAGAATCTATCCCATGTAACTATAAAGCCATAACAGAAAGCACGCCTCTATCTTTTTCTGGGCAAAACAGTGGAGCTCCTGAAATTCTGACATGCTTTATTTACATGGAATGCAAATACACTTGTGGTTAAGTCTCAAACATGCCATTTTTTATGTGCACTGCAAACCTTTAACTGCAAATGTGAAACATAAGAAGGAGTGCAGCCCACATTAAATACCAAATGAAATGAATTGTATATAATATTCAATATGTTTGTAGAAAACACAATAATATTATTAACGTATATATGGCAGGTAAGGTTCTGTTACTTAAGGCATTTTGAGAATTTACTGAACTGAAGACACAAGCAGTCCAAAACAAATATGATCACAGAACTAACAAACAGATTAAACATTTTTTACTGTTTAACAAGCAAATACACCTCCTTCAAAACATAAAACCCAACTGACTCATTTGTCTGTAATATCCTTTGTCCTGCCCTTAAATTACTTATGAATCATGCCTAGATAAGTATATAAACTTTAATAAATCAACTTATTATATCAGTTTAAAGCTGAGATCATCAAGATTTCAGGCCTGGTTACATTTTGCGACACACGTGGTTACAGCAAGAACAGTGTAATAAGAAAGAAAACGCTTTGGGCAGCTACTTCACAGATCACTGTTAGCGCTTACTGCAACACGTGAAGTCAAATCACAACCTTAAAACATTTCAAGCACATTTGTTTTGTGTGTCATTGGATGCCCTAAAGCAGTAAAGAGCATTGTTTCATTTTCGATCCATCCGTACAGTAAACTACTCTCCTGCCTCAGCCCCTGGGCCATGGTACATCAGAGTGTAGCAGCTACAATATGAGCGTATCTCCCTCCACCACCCTGGACAGCCAGCTGACCACTTCCTGGGGCCCTAATAACTCCTACCCTGATGGTGAGGCCCATGACCCACACTAACACAGTCTTACATGCCTTCCTGGCATTATGTATGCGCTCTTCACTGGTGCAAATCTCTTAATTAAATTGTCTGAACAATATCCTAAAATGCCTCAAGAAAAAATGCTAATTTGTTCTGCTGAAGGATCCTGACTGCTCTCTGTTCAACAACCCATTTCTCTCACTGGATATGAGATTGCGGTGCAAAATGAAAATCATTCAACAATTAGCAACTGATGTATTGCTCACCTGGTGAGCCCAGAGTTCTGAAACACAAGGCATGAATTATTCCCGAGCAGTAGCTCAACCGGTCTTTTAGCAAACTGCTCAGATTAATTATTGACAAATACCTTCATCAGAGGAATTCCTGTTTCCCTCATCAGACGCATATTGTTGTCTGTTGTTTTTGTTCACAACCATTGATGTGTGTTCCCAGTTCCGGTGGTGATGTCTGGGTACACAAGTCGCCTGTGGCCTCGTGACTCCCAGCCTCAGTTCTGGAGTAAGTACCAGGTGTGGGAGTGGCTGCAACAGGTCATGGACATGCACCAGATTGATGCCTCCAACATTCCTTTCCAAAACTTTGATATGGACGGTCATCAGCTCTGCAGCCTGAGCTACCAGGACTTCATCCGTGCTGCCGGCAGCGTGGGGCCCATTCTCTTCCACAGCATCACAGAGCTCAAGTGGAGCGGTGCGTCTGAAATTCTGAGAGGGGGGTTGAAGGGGGGGGGCAGGAAGTTATTTAGTCCCAATAAAAGAGAAGCGGGGTGATTCCAATTGGTCTGGAACAGAGTCTTGATGCAGTGTTACTGAAAAGGGATCACAGAGCCGGTCAGGGGTCGCACTGCATGGTGCTTTAGAGGGGCAAAGGACTGCTTTAAGCGAGGGAGATGATGGATTTGTTGTTTGCTCTTGCTAGAGTGGGTCTCCTAACCAAGCACAGAGGGGTTGTGAAGCAGAGAAACAAGCTGAGAATTGTCTCATCCACTGTTTTTTAATTAGACTATGAGGGTTATTGTCAAGAAACTCGAGTTCAAAGGCCAGAGGCTTCACCTTTGGGATTTTAATTATAACTAGTATGTGTAGAATGTGGCTTTGAGGAAATTAAAGCAGTAAAATGATGAGAACTATTGTGCAACATTATGTGGTAAATTACAGCTGCACATCATATTTTATCTAATGGCATTTCAAAACAACAGCGATGACATGAGACCAGGCCCAACAGGTTTATTCTCCAGGTTACATAGAAAGTAAAGGGTAGTCGTACTAGGGCACAATGCTGCTATTGTTCTTGCTTGCTGTAAGAAAGAAGCTCAATTTCTTCAAACAAGGTGTTACATTTTTAAACATTAAATATCATTGTCAAACTGTTTGTGATACCTTAGTAGTATTACAACACAACCATGAGGCCTTGGCAGTAGGTAACACTGGGAATCAGTGGTTAACAAAATTAAGTATATATAATTTATGTATTATTTAGAATATATAATTCTGTAAGTGTTCTGTACAGTATCATCCTGTTGTGGGCTGTAAAACAGTATCTGCATACACCACAAAGCAACGCAATCCTCACTAAATCTGCTAAACATTCTCAGACTGCCTCACAGGGTAACATGGAAGTTAGGGCCCTAAAGAGCTTTTCAATACATTAAGCAAGGATTTGGTTCATAGCTGGTTGATAATCAATCTACAAATATTACACAACACTGACTGCATTCATTCCCTGATCTGTGCTAATAATTCACTTCCTTTATCCTTCTCATCCCCGAACAGGGCAGTACCATGTTGAACTGGAACTCAAACCAGAATGTAAGAGTCTCTCAAATGAGTTATTAGTCACAACACAGATAGACTTTTCCACAGATGTTCATACAAATCAAATAAAGCAACACGTCCTAACAAATGCTTACCTTTGTTCTGATCATAGTTGACTTCTCCTGTCCATTTCCAGATGTCAGCTATCCACCTGGAGGTACTGTAAATATGTCAATCTGCTGCATTATTTCTACTACTACTACTTTACTTGAAATGGATGTACCAAATAAATTACTGTGATATTTTTTCCCCTCTCTTATCTTAGAAGTCTACGATCCTTTGATTCACCCCCTCGCAGATGTTGCCTCTCCCACCCCTTCTAGCCCTGGTGAGGAATTCACAATATATGCAACATAACAAGTTTGCATGTTCTGTTTTTTAATAGAACGGCAAAATGTGCATTACAAATGAAAAAAAAAAAGATTAAAGGATTCAGGAATATATTTTGTTTCTTACTCCCAGATATCAAAAGGTCTTTGAGTCGTCCTCATCCGGCCAAAAAAAACAGTGCGTAATATCAACAAATCTTTTTTTTATTTTACACTTCATGGTGATATTTATATTTATTCCTACCATTCAATCGACTTTCTTTCCCCACAGATCCAAGGGGGACCCACTTGTGGGAGTTTATCAGGGACATTCTGCTGAACCCAGAGCGAAACCCAGGGCTGATCAAATGGGAGGATCGGACAGAGGGGGTTTTCCGCTTCCTTAAGTCAGAGGCAGTGGCACAGTTATGGGGCAAGAAGAAGAATAACAGCAGCATGACCTATGAGAAACTAAGCCGGGCAATGAGGTACACCTGCACAGCTAGCATGATGTAGTTACAGAAATACAAAACCAGACAGCAACTTATCATTCACCTCAAAGTATTCACTGGAGACAGGATCTGATACTTCTCTGCAGTTTCACATTTTGCACTGCAGTCAACAGTGCGTTTTAGTTTGGCAACAGCTTGTAAAATCTGTGATGAGGAGGACATTTCACACTGCATTGTTCCTAATCCAATTTACTTAAGCAGCTTATAATGCACTTGCTACTGAGAAGAACATAATGTAACGACTAAGAAATGTACCTTAGGTGACATCGTTAAGAGTTAAATATCGAAAACCAGTGAACTCATCCCTTTAAAACACATATATACCATTTCCTATCACTGATTACCCAAAATGGACTCATTTATGAACTGCTGCATGATTTCACTTATCTCCCAAATGAACTGAAATGGCCTTCTCCTCAGAAAGTCTTCCTGGCTCCTGCAATAGTCACAGCTTTACATTCAAATGAGCTAATCTAATGAGCTTAATTTCATTGTAGTGTACTGGGAACTACAAAATGTGCCCACAGGTATTGTCACTGTGACCACAAAGCGGATTTTCTTTTTACTGTGGCGCAGCAGAAGGCTTTGCAGCTTGATGGCATCACCAAACAGATTGGTACTTATGAATAACAAAAGCAAAGGAATAACAACCAAGCTAACTGAGTTTCCCTTCATTTGAATGCATGTGATCGCACTTGGAGGAAATTTGAAGCATAGTTTGAAAGAAATTATTTTTGCCAGACAACAGAGAAAGTGAGGCGACTTATAACGCTGCTGACAAAGTTATCTATCGTCCATTTGACGAAGACATTGAATGAAAAACAAATCATAAAATATAAGCCACGTATAACTGATACCTCATACTTTCATTACATATTGGACAGAGTACACATCATGCATCAGCAATCTGATAAATAATCCAGTATGGTAGCTTTAACAAAGCATATTAATAATTTATTTCAGATTCCTTATACTGAATGGTGGGAAACATACAGATTATGTATGTTGTAGTGGTGGAAGACTAACATAATTTTACATATGATGACAAGAGTGAAAGTAAAAGGCTGATGAAACTCTGGTTAGTTACACCACCAGGACAGTGTGTGTGTGGTCAAAATAGCGTCCATCTTGGTTGGACACACAGGCTGTACATGTTAGCAGGATCAGTTCACAAGAATTTAAAAACACTTTTGTTCATAACGCACTATAGCGTTATAGCATATAACAGCTATAATTAATCCGATTCAGAGCAGACGTGCAAGTTCTGAGCAAGAAAATAAACAAGCAATTCAGTTAATCAGACTGTACTACACTGCATTTTTATATATTATGTATGATTTCAAACACAATCAGATGATCTATAATGAATTCATTTTCAATTTAATTTAGTCAGTTCATTTTACTTGTGTTGCAGATATTACTACAAAAGAGAAATCCTAGAGCGAGTAGACGGACGCAGACTGGTTTACAAGTTTGGAAGGAATGCAAGAGGATGGAGGGAATCAGAGAAGTGACAATTTCATTAATTTATGTTTTCTTTGATGTGCAAATGTGAAGATTTATTGTAGTTTGTATTGGTATTGTTTTTGATAGTGATATGTTTTAACTGTTTACACATTGTTTATAATTGGTTTTTTTGCCTGACTCTTTGTTTCTTTGACACTGCACTGAGACTTTCTTTACTGTGCCTTAAATGTGCCTATTATGCAACATGTCAGCGGTCAAACCTCCCACATGTGTGTTTACATGCAGTAAGATCTCACTTAAGAAAAAGATAGTAAAAACTGCCAAAAGCTAACATAAAACATTGTCAATCCTGTGTTCCTTACGTTTTTTCAGATACTTTCCACAAGTCCCAAAGGAGCACATGTTGATAGCATTCATTACACATATGGCAAACAGATGAATGTTGCGTGTTTTGACACTTATACTGTGAAGTTTCCTTTGGGAAGGATGCATGATCGCTGCAGAAAAACCAAATGAAATAAAAAGAATTAAATAACATCCAATAACCACAATGCAACAATAAAGTACAAGAACACATAAAGTGATGAACTGTAAATATTTACACCGAAATGACAGTGTGAATTGTCTTATTTCATGCATTTCATACTTTGCATTCATTGGGCGGTAAAGAAAGTGTGTAAATGTTTGCTGATGTATGACACAAATAAAGCTTGCTGTTGTTTTTATATTGTGAAAGTCATTTTTCAGAATTGCATGTGTGCAATTTGGGTGTCGCTGTGTAAATCAAGAAGAGGACAATTCCTGTGACTTTTAATTGTTATGAGACAAAGAAAGAGTATTTTGATCAATCATATCAGTCAGCATTTTAGTTCAATCTACTGCCAAAATTGCAGCCCTTCTTGCCCAGACTAGACTAAATCCATAGCTGTAAGCCTTGTTCCCTCTGCGTCTGTTACAAGCTTGACTTTGAAAAGCCATGCGCTTAGACACAGTGCAGGTCATTTCTGCTTCTACCACGACAGCGTGAAACGCCTTGTTATTTTATCTAATGGCAAGTGTTCGCCAGTGCGTGCCATAGCTGTAGCGCTGCTTCCTGCAGACAGCAGATGAATGATTGGGCCTCGATGGCCAACAAGATAAAAGCAGTGTCAGTTAAAGGTTCCTTTCTTTGGCCTGTGTTAACAAGCAAATCCGTGTCTAATCTTCACTCTGATTTAGGAGCCCTTCTTTACATAGGGTGGGATTGATTGACATCACGTCCTGTTATTATCTTTCCAGGTGGCTTCAAAATGTGCCCACTGTGCCGCTGTGTCACTTTCAGTGTTGTCGCTCTGCCCACACACACATCGGTGTTGCTAAGCAACACTGTCATGATGTAAGCTGAAGAAAATGACACCACGTGTCATTAAGTACTAGATCAACAACAATCTCTTATTACCAGACCTTATGGAATTTCTCAATAATTAACAGAGCTTTTCTTCCTGGTAGTAGGAAAGCGTCTCTGATTAGAGGAGAAACTTGGATTGAGATAATAGCTCCTGATTGCCGTAATGTTGAATTAAATGAAACAAGCAAGCAATGCAAATCAAATTGAAGTGCATATCCATCATATTCCATTGTTTAGAATTTGTGTTGTTACGTTATTCACATGGAGCAATCACACTTTATGGTATCTCTTGAGCAGCACTTGTCATGACCCATATTACACACTTTAAATTTGAAATGTATACAAAATCAAACAGAGCTGTGATTACTATGTCATTGAAACAAAAGTTATGATTATGCGTTGCATATGTTTTAAATCATTAAAGGTAGGAAGAGTAGAAAACACAACGTATCAAAGCTGGCAAGCACACAGCCCCTGACCCTGATTACCAGAACACAGCCTTGTGTAACGCCTGCATCAACACATACCTACATCAGGCAGCGATTCAAGAACGCTATACCTGACAGCCTGTGGGGAAAATGAGTGATTTTTCTTTACAATGTCAGCCAAGGCAGAACAGAGCACCGGACGGAGAAGAGGCCAAGAAGTGAGAGCTGGAGGCATGTGCAGAGCGAGGGGCAGAGGTTGACACCCAGAAACGGCCAGAACACAGATAAATAAGAAAAACAGGCTGAGGTCAGGGTCTCTGCAGATACAGACACTGCCACACTTCTAATGGGTCATAAATGATAATTAAGAGTGATCATTTTTGTATAAGTATAAACATTATTTTTTTCATTCTGCCTTTAAATAATCACAGGAAATGAGAGATCGTGTTTGAAAGCTGTGAAGCAAAGTGCTTCAAACTGTTTAGCGTATTATTTACCCTTCACCTAAAATGCTCCATCGTATTTGATTATCAGACCAAAAAGACTTTACACGTTGAATGTGAACATTAATATGGCACAAAGAGATTAGCTGGGAAATGAATGATTGGTTCTAATCATCAGAGGCACAAACAAACATGAACGTCTGAAATGTTGGCCACGGTTGCACTTTTGAATAATGGGGATGCTGCTGTGAACTGTGATATGGGGACCTGTTTGATGGAACTGAGTGACGATAAGTTAACAGTTAGGCAAATTGTCTAGACTGATCTAACCTCTGCAGCACTGACAGCAGCTTGATTTTCCTAACAGACTGCTGTCCCATGAATGCAAACCGAGCCTTTACATATAGCCTCAGTGTGTGAGGATCCATGACAGCCTCTGACATCTGATTCAAATTTAGATATCAGTTGATCTAATATGCATAATACAGCATGGGATGAGTTTTCTGCATCATTCCCTGAGGCCTATTACTTCAGTGTTTCTCAAGAATCAACTGTGAGTGAGAGACGATAGTGTTTTGTTCTTTTGGAAAGCACCGTTAAACCAGCATAACAAGTATTCATACCACACATGGCACATGGGCAAACATGCACCCAAACCGGTTGCAATGGATCTGGTAAGGAACAAAAACACACACATGCATCTGAGAAGAGATATTTAATCCATGTGTCTCACTTTAGCGGTGGTCATCAGATATTTGTGCATACAACTGTCTAGAAAGATGACAGCAAAATGCACATACAGGTACCATCTATTCGCCTGCTGCACTGTGTGTTACACTGGGTTGCACAGGCGAAACAATGGCTGCCTTTGTTTTGCCAAAAACAATATACAGTATCTTTCCACAAGTGCCTTTATCTCTTATTGTCAGAAAATTATTTTCAGATTTGAATGAGCCACGCAAGGGCTATTTCATTATTTAAAAAGGGAGCACATTAATTCAATCAGATAGATGCTGGAGGAAGAACAGGGAAGTGATGAAAGATAGCCTGAGCATGGGCATGAAGACAGCCAGCTGGGATTTTGTGTCTGTGTCCCATGCCTGCTCAGTGGGCTATTGTGTTCTCTCAGCAGATACACAGCACCAGCTTATCGGGGCCCCTTATCGTTTTCTCTTCACACTCAAATGGACCTGTGAGGCATTCAGCCCAAACTGTGAGTTGGACAGATTAGAAATGCATCACTAATGAGACTTTACTTTTGGGGGTGGTGGTAATGCAGTTCTTTATGATCTTATGAATGAAAAACCAACACCTGAGTGAAGTTATGAAGGGGTAAGTTAACAAAATGTATGAAGTTTGAATGTGCCTGTGATAAATAATAATCAACTCTTTCTGGATTCACGTGAAACTACAAGCAACCCTGAAGTCGCTGTGCTCAAGTAAACAATTAATAATGAAGTGTTTTTTACCACCTGGTCTGCATTTCTGATGAGACAAAAACACGAGGAAGCATTCGTGGCCAAGATATCTTGTTAATGCTAGCCTGTGATGAAGCCAATTTCCTGCTCAGATTTTTGGACTTTCCACTAATGTTTGTTTCCCGTACTTTTGAGCATCACCCACTAATTTCCTGGTTTGTTCATTTTGCAGTGAAAAATGACATGTATAAAGAATTTTTTTTTTCTCATCTCTGACCAACTAACATGTGATTAAGTGAATTTCATACACTGAACAAAATTATAAACGCAACACTTTTGTTTTTCCCCCCATTCATCATGAGCTGAACTCAGAGATCTAAGACTTTCTCTATGGACACAAAAGGTCTATTTCGCTCAAATATTGTACACAAATCTGTCAAAACCTGTGTTAGTGAGCACTTCAGCTCTGGTGGACATCCCTGCAGTCAGCATACCAATTGCACGCTCCCTCAAAACATCTGTGGCATTGTGCTGTGTGATGGAACTGCACATTTTCGAGTGGCCTTTTATTGTGGCCAGCATAAGGCACACCTGTGCAATACCCATGCTGTCTGATCAGCATCTTGATATGCCACACCTGTGAGGTGGATGGATTATCTCGGCAAAGGAGAAGTGCTCACTAACACAGATTTAGACAGATTTGTGAACAATATTTGAGAGAAATAGGCTTTTTGTGTACATAGCTCAAGATGAATGGGGGCAAAAACAAAAGTGTTGTGTTTATAATTTTGTTGAGTGTATTTAGAAGCATTGCATGTAAATGTAATAAAAAACAAGAAATATATCATTTCACATCTTGAACTGAATCTTATTCTTTTCACGGATGAAAAACAGTAGATGATAGGCCACTGTTTGTTAAAAGTGCATTTGGACACATGAAATTTTAATAAACTTTTTATTAATGGTCTTATTCTTTTTATTAGCATGAGAAAAGAAGACCACTATTTTTAGTTTTTTACGGGGAACCTCCTATGCTTTCTTAAATAAAGCAGTTTTGTATTGAGGAAGGTTTAAACCAGTAAAAAATAATAATTTAGTGGAATGCAACACAACAGGAAATAAAGTAACAAACTTGGTACATTGTTGAGACAGTCCAGAATTTATGTAGCTGATCAGGACACAGATCTAAAAATCAAACATCCTCAAACAAATAATCATCATGATTACATGTATTGACTTCCCATCCTTCCCCCATTCTCCCACACTCACAAATTGGTGTTTGTGGAATTTTATATGGTCTTTAATAAAATCAACCAAAAGCTGATTTGACATATTTTTTAATTTTTGGTTATCTTTTTTATTGATTTATTTACTTTATATGTGAAGTTCTCATTTTACAAACTTTCATTACAGTAATGATGCAACAACAACAACAACAAACCAAGCAAACAAATATTTACAAGGTTGCTTTTTTTTGCTCTTAAAAATCAACAAAAGGACATCAGTTCCTAATACTTTTAGGAAATTCAAATTAAAGTTTAGTTGTCTCCTGTGTAGGAATCACCAGGCATCTAAAAAAAATGACTTAATTTCATATTTCAAAATAATATATAAAACATGTTACTGACATGGTTTTAACATTCAACAATATTCAATACACTAAACAAGTAGGCAACTTTAAAAGTATTAGGCAGTGAGAAATGGGGCTAATGTGTCTGATAGTAGTTTGATTTTGAACATTCGCCCTTTTCCACGTTCAATGTTCTGAAATTACTTGTGATTTGGTTTTAAACACTTCACTGTTACTTAATTTGTACAGGAGCTTGATTCTCCCCAGCAGAGGGCAGTAGCTCACTGAGAACTGAGGATTTCGACCATTTGAACGCAACAGAACAACAGTAAAAAAGACGTCGAAGGACCCAAAAAGTGACTTCTTCATAGCCTGGTCGTTTATCTCTATCTAAATCAATAATACATTTTCTATGCACATTTAATAGACCACAGAGCATTGGATATCTTTTAAAGTCTTCTGGGGTTGATAAATAAAACAAGATGAGCTTTAAAAAATTTAATTATACAATCTCTCCCCTTCCCCGCCGTTCTACCGTCAGGCATTTGTGTGGACACGTCTCACACACGGAGGACGACGACATGGCGGCCTCCTTGCGTCTGGGTCGTCAAGGGATTTTATTTGGTCTGAGATTGTCTAATTTCAGTAAATCTGTGTGGGCCACACGCCCGTGGCAGGAGCATGTCAGACACTTCTTTCAGTCACCATGGCTCCTCGGTGAGTGTTGACAGTTTAATATAAGGGCAGGGTTTGTCCTCGTCTATTCTGGCAGCCGCTGACATTTGCTAAGTTATCATCATTTTCTACTTTTGTTAGTCGCGTTAGGTTACTTCGTCATCGCTTTTTATGACAAGATAATTAATAGCAGTGTTGTTAAATTGAAGTTTAGGTATGTGAATTGTGAGGGGTTTTTTGGCTTCAGAAGGAACGATGGGGAAATTTACCTTGTGAACCGATTACACAAGGACAAATTATGGTCAATTTTGGAACCAACCAATCTGTTACAAACTTGGACTAAACTCAGTGGTGAATAAGAGTTACAAGAGAAGCCTTTGAAATTGCTCACAGACACATTTAGATTTCCTCTGACAGAATCCTTTACTAGTCCAGGCTGCAGCCAGTGTTATTTAGCAATGCATGAATCTCCCTGGCTGACATCTAATTGTTAGTCTGGTGCTGCTCAAGATGATTTGACCTGTTGTTTCTCGCCTTTGCTAGAGTTGGGACTCTGTTTCTGTAGGGTAAAATCAAATACAAATTATTTAGAAAATACAAGATGTATGTATATAAACTATAAAAGCCTTTTTTTCATTCAGTGAGCCAACATGCACAATAACAGCACCGTGAAACCAATGCAGCTAAATAGAAGTCATCCATCCATCCTTTATCTAGGTCCGCAGGTCACGAGTCAATGACACATGTAGAGACAGACAGCCATCCACTCTCACAGGAACACTTATGGGCAGAACAGAACATGCTATTTCTTCTACACAAAGAAAGGCCCAAGCTGGTCGGTGGATTTGTCAATGCATACACTGTACTACTGTGCTGCCCTCAAATAGAAGTCAGCCTTAATACCTGTGCTTTTCCTACTGTGACATTTCAGTTTCTTATGTTTAAAAAAGCCCATTGAATCCAATGGTCAGACTACTATGATCTTGTCTAGAATATTGATGAGACTATGCTGGGCATAGCTAGTAATGTGCAACATAATTGAGATGGATCGTGTTGATGGGGTTCAAGGCAGATCATTTATCATTCCATCTGTTGTTTTCTGTGGTGTTGCACCAAACTGTATTGCACTACAGTGTTAAGTAAAGTGTGTGAATTATGTAGGTAAATGGCCACAGTCAGGTTGCATACGTTCAGATATAATGTTGGTTTATCGTAACTAAGCACCGTTAATCAGTTTATTACTTCAGTTTTAGTGGGAGGATCATTTAGGAACAGCTTTCTCTCACTCTGCTTGTCAGGTAGCCTGTATTCACCACCAGTAAGAGACAGAGAAAAAGGGCAGAAATAGTCGGTCGTTGGAAGAAACCAAAGCATGCGATGGGAATGTTGAGAAGCAAGAGCTATGTGAATTTTTAATAGGTTTTCAGTAGTTAGTAGTAGTAGTAGATCTTAATTTACTTCAGTTGTGGTATCATAGCAGGAAAATCATGGGTAATCACATTAATGATGGCTTCATTCCAAACTATGCCAGTGAGCAAGAATAGTAGCAGTAGCAACATTCTGGACTGACACACCAAAATGGAATGCAGCCATGCAGCCATCATTCATGTTATTAAATGCAATTAATAACATGCGTTTCTTGCTATGACATGTCTGCCGGGGGAAAATGGTCTATTATGTGTGAAAGCTCACAAGTTATATATACACACACACACACACACACACACACACACACACACACAGGCACAGAGGAGTGATTCATGTCTGAATGATATGAATATACATTGTAACTGCTGTTAGACCCAGTATTAATAGGACAGGACATGTTTATGAGAAAAGAGTCGGATCGTTCTTTATACACAGACACAGTAAACAGGCAGATGAACGTGTTTACTAGTTAATGATGTTCTTAATTTTCAGATACTGAAGGAAAATCTAAAAAGTGAAGTAACTGAAAAGTAGATACCATTTGATACCTTAGGGGTTAGGGTTAGACATGAATTCTGTTTTGTGACATTTCCAAATATCCAGCAGATGGCACCAACACACAACTTGGCCACAGTGGATTTACATCGCTATTTTTCCTTCATGGAAAGATGAGGTTATTCATATGAAGCAAAGGCAGCAAACCCTAGATGGCCTCTAAAATGCCTGATTGTAGAAAACAAATTCATCAGTCATCGCCTCCTTGACATAATTTACCTTGGTTTCAGAGTAAATGTGCGATAGTTAATTTTACTTTGATTTCGTATAGCTCCTTGTAAAAAGGGTTATGGTATTACATGTAATCATGGGGAAAACAGGATTTTTTCCTATTGGATTCATAATAATTTGCACTGACAAAATTGGGAGACATATAAAGAAGGTTTAAAATTGCATTTGTGATTGTTATTTAGTTCTTTTGGTGAATATTTAAGAAAGCTGGAGAAAAAAAAGGCTCAAAAGATATTGACCAAACCCCTTCACATCATCCATTTACTTTTTCTGTCTCTTATTTATTGCATCTTTATTGTATATTGGGGCTACAGTAGCTCAGTCCATAAGGACTTGGCTGGAAACTGGAGGGTCGCCGGTTCGAGTCTAGCTCGGTTACACAGTTGACTGGTAGCTGCCAGTTCACCTCTTGGGCCTTGAGCAAGCCCCTGAACCCCCAACTGCTCGGGACACCGTACCAAGTGGCAGCCCCCTCACTCTTTCATCTCTCGATGTATTGTCCCTATGGGTCCTGTTTGTGCATGTGTGTGTATTTCAGTGTGTATAATACTAACAATTAACAACAGAGTGAAAACATTGAGTTTCCCCTTGTGGTATTAATCATTAGTCAAAAATCAAATCTAAAGCTTGACTATTCTTTCATCAGCTCTGCATGGTAGTCAGTAATAAAGCAATGCCTCTGCAGCTTGGATATGTACTTTCCTTTGGCAGCCTGGAGACCCAGTGTCCAACACAGTGCTTTGAGCCATTTGAACCCTTGCCTTCTGAGTTTCTGCAGCTGGTGACATCAGCATTACGCATGCAAGAGTACGAGCGCCACTGCATCCTCTGGTGCAGTGTCAGCCAGGTTCACAATTACATCAGTGACCTGCCTGTTTTCTTCTGTCATAGATACACTGCCCCCCCCCCCCCACTTGAATTCATAACAAACACTGCTACTTCAGGGTGTGTTACTTGATTGATTTTGAAATTTACATTTACCTAGGCCTGATTTTGAAAGACTGTTGGAAATACAATTTTTATGGAAATATTTCTGCTTTAAGCCTGTTGACCCTGATGTAAAATGTATTATTCTCTTTATATCCTGTAGGTGTCAGTCCACTCCAAGTGCAAATGCCTGCTCTCTCCCCCACCATGGAGGAGGGAAACATAGTCAAATGGCTGAAGAAGGAAGGTAAAAGAAACAAAACACAGAACTCTGTTTTCCTGTTCTCATTACCACACATCTATTTCTAACTAACCTGCTAAAATGACTACTTCTAAGTAACCTCTGCATCTGTGGTTATCAGATCAAAGACCTCAGCAACAAATGTTTCCAACAATGATGGACCAACGGTAGCACCAGTCGTTTTTCTCAATGACATGACATTGCTCTGTAAGGCAGAGGTCTGAGCTCTGGAGCACCTGAGGGCCTCTAGTGGCTTATTGGCTCAAGGAAACACAGCGGTCACTATTCATCACTTAGCAACTCTGCTCAGCCGGGCGCCTCAGACACACACTCATTTATCAGGAGGAAGCATACTGATTGGCTGTTCTGCTGTGTTGCCAAGTGCTTCTGTGACTTGGGCTGAGATATGTACATGTGTATGTGTGTAAGTGAGAAAGGGAAAGATAGATCTCATTGGCAGTAAAAACACATCCAGGATGCTACTTTCTACCCTTAAATGCACCATAAAGCTTTTATTTTGTATGATGGCAATGTGATTAATTGTTCTTCAATGGAAACATGTTTTGTTGTGTGTTTAGAAAACCTGAGTTATGATTTAAAATTAAAACCCCATCTCTGGAAGGTAAAATAAGCAGTTTTTCCATGTAGTTTCCCATTTCTTCAAAATGTCGAATATCAGCATCTTATTTTAACAGTTTTATACAGTATTTGCAGGTAATGTATTTTAACATAGCTCTGAGCTACATACCTACCTACCTAGTCTGTGTATATATTTGTTATGTCTATTGCCTTTCCACTAGAGCAGAGGTGAAAAAGGATTGGGGTTGCCTGTTTAATCTTTAATATTGCACATCACACCTAACCCCTGGGGTCATGCGGTGTTAAAGCGTCATACAAATACAATCTTGACTCCACTACAGCTTGCTCTCAGGGGCTTCAAATGTCAATACTCCCTCTGCTCTTTCAACCTTCCCCTCACCCATCCCCAGCTACTATTCCCTTGACCCACCCTGTTCCTCTTTTTTCCTTCCCTCAGATCTCTACTTTTAAAACATAGCATAAAACTCAGGTCCTTTTCAATTTTGGTATTAATTTGAGGTTTTGCAAGATACCTTTTTGCCTTCGTGCTGTTCTTGATTTTCCCGCTCTTTGCTACAAGCCCAGGTAATGCACCCTCTTATAGCTGCCAGAAGATAGAAATGTGACCAGATGTCAGATCTGGATAACCCTTAACCTTTATCTCCTCCTCCTCCTCCTCACATCTTAACACATGAACATATGTCAGAAAGGCTATTCAATGATGCTCTGGCTACTTTTCCTTTCTCCATTAAGTGCTAAAGGAGAGCAAGCGTTCCTGTACAAACGAGCTGTACAGCTGAGGTGTGTGTGTGTGTGTGTGTGTGTGTGTGTGTGTGTGTGTGTATAAAAACAAGGAAACAATCAGGTCCATGTCTTTGTATAGGATTCCAATGGTTTAGCTCAAAATGAATATGTGAGCATGAAAGAACTGAACCAGTGTCTCCTAATTGCCACCCTGTTTCACTGTTAAGGAAATGCTAATATATTCCAGCTCTCTCATGTGGCAGACCAGTGGGAATCCACTGGATAAGGATAGACAAAGATTTCGCCTTCAATCATTGCGTTTCCGTATCTCATATTCTTTCCCATTAAACATTGATGAGGCTCTTCATTTGTGGGCCAGAGCCCGAGCAGATATTTCCTCACACCGCCTTTTTGTCCCTTGAATGGAATTCTTTCATTTTTCTGGCAACTAATTTGCTCGCTATAAGTGCAAAACCCCAGCGAAAGAGCAGTTGTTTTGAACACACTGCCGCTGATCATGATTCATGCATTTCTAATCAAAGTTAAAATGAATCATTTGCACTTTAGCTAAGTTCACAAACCCCTTCATAATGGAAAGATTGTTTGGGAATTAGGCGCTTGAAATGGCAAATAAATATTTCTATTACATTGAAAGTTCTCAGATGTTTTTCTTTACTTCTACAGGTGAGGCAGTGGCAGCAGGTGATGCCCTTTGTGAGATCGAGACAGACAAGGCCGTTGTTACCTTGGAATCTAATGATGACGGCGTCTTGGCTAAGATATTGGTGAGTGAGCAGAAACACACATAAACCTTCTCTATAGGAGATGATTAGATAAGGGAATTTATTTGCAAATAACAGGTATGCTTAAGCCCTGAGTTTGGCTTTGGTGCGGTATGTTTTAAAGCGGTGCCTTGAGGGAGTATTTAAATGCTGTGTATTTAAGTGTGTGTCAGCACTAGGATTTTAAAATTGTGCTTTTTGACAAGAGTGTTCTTCAGGTTTCACTTCTTTGTTAGTATGCCTTCAAACTATGTAAAGGCAGCGGTTTGCAGTAGTTGTGTTTATGTTTTTGAAATTAGTTGATTCACATTATGATGTAGTCCTGATTATATTTATATGTGAAGGTTTCAGGGTTCCTTCATTGCCTCTGCAAATTGGCTACGCTTGTTAAATCTACTCTCCCTATACAGTGACAACAAAGCTTTGACGAGGTGTCTTCAGCAACAAATATGTCTCTCCTTCCACCCACCCCCCTACTGTGCTGTTTGTTGTTTGAAATTTTAATAGGCTGCCAAAGACAGAGCGATCACTTGTCTTTCATCCGTACTCCACCACATGTTCAGAAGATAAAGATGTTCTATCTTTTGAGTATTGGCTGATCTTCAAGAGATTTGAAATCGGTATGTGAAGTAGGAGGGAATGGGGGGGTGTCATCAAGCAAGATTTAAGTTCACTATTTTAGCTTCCTTATTATGATATATTATTATATATATTGCTTGCTCCATGTGACTAACCAAGTGCCTAAATCTAATAGTACAGCACGTTCCCTGGTGATGTGATTTTGGACATGCTCACAGTCTGGTGAAGTGGATCAGGGTTTAATTATGTGGTGTTTGTACAGCTTTAACAAAAAACCAAAGACACATTCCAAGTCTGCACCGGCAAAATGCACATTACAAATGAGCAGACAGAGACATTGTTCATGAACAGTACTCACTCTTAAGGTACATGCACAGGCACACACAGAAATGGCTAAATGAATCAATTAATTATTGGGCGGTCATTATTGGACTGTCAATTATATACCATAGGATTTTCCCCGCCTGCCTTTCACTTCACTTTTCTATTCTCTTACATTCCCTCACTCTATCCTTGTCTTTGCCACTGTTGGGATGAGGTAGTTTCCATAGCAACCACCCAAGAATTGGGGGTAGGGGCTTTAGAGCTCAAGCTGGCAGAGAAAGATGGTCTGAATTAGATAAGCCCCTTGGCTGTCTCTCTCTCTCTCTCTGATAGAGAGTATGTTTATAGTTAATAAGAAAAACAGCAGCTTGTGGCAATATTTCACATGTGATGTGTCCCCTTACACGGCACGGCTAATGTGGCATCCACTTTGTCTGAGTCAGAGTATAAGCCTTTAGTGGTGTAATTGTGGCTCTGGAAGCATTCAGTAGGTTTCTAATTTAGAGGCTGCCATAATTACCTGCCTGTGGCAAAATGCCTGGACAGGCTTGCTGTAGACATGGAACTTCCGGTGCTCCACAGGGGTTATTTATGAGGGTCAAGTACTGTTATGGCCCTCTACCAATTTCCAGCCATGGCTCTTGGGGGTGAGAGAACACAGGGTAGTACCACCTCATATTGGGACATGGAGGTTGGGGGTAGGAGCACCAGCACCATGGAACGCAGATTACTGTATCTCATTATACATTTACTGCGTTGCTCTACCCTGACCCGAGGGCTTCAATCTGGAAATCTTCCCCGGGTACAATCAATCATAGCCAGTAGGAAATGACACACATGCTTCTTCAGATAGATATTGTAGATGCATTCAGCTCCTCTGTGTGCAGATTTATTGTACAGATGAATGCTACTGAGCTTGAAATGGACTGATAGGTACATCAGAAGGTAGTATGAGTTGGTGATTACTATATTGAATTACATGGCAGAAAGTATGTCTGATTCATGTATGAACAAACGGATAAATTGATGAAGCTATCCAACACATTCTGCATTGCTAACCTGTCATTTTCCCATTCATTATATACCTTTCCCTTCCCCTCCTCAATTCCGCACACGGTTATCCACGGGATCAATTTATCAATTGCTAGTATAAATCAGTCTCTACCCTTGCAGTATTCTTAGGTCAAATTGGGTGAAAAGCCCTATGTCTTTTGTCTGCTCCAGAATTTATAACCAAATCATCGCTGGCAAAAAGACTGAACAGAATTAGTTTACAGTTCATATTTTCCTTCAAGGGAGACCATCAGTGCATTGGGGAAACATGGCTAGAATTGAAGTGACACATTCTTTAGCCTTGAGATAAAACAGAGAGTGGAGAGCATAGGATGGTAAAATGACCCTAGATAAAGGATGAAGCTTAAACCCTGAGTGTCAATGTTATATGTAGGGCTGGGCAATAAAACAGTAACATTAATTATTGCAATATAATTTTCCTAAAAATATAACAAATGTTCAATATGTTGTCAATAAATCCATCCATCCATCGTCAACCATTTATCCTGCATACAGGGTCGCAGAGGGCTGGAGCCAGTCCCAGCTGACATCGGGCAAAAGGCGGGGTACACCCCGGACAGGTCTCGTCAATAAATGTTTGATTTAATTCATTAGAATCACAAACGAAATATCACTTAATTTTTCTATCCATCCATCCATCTTCATCCGCTTATCCGGGATCGGGTCGCCGGGGGAGCAGCTCCAGCAGGGAACCCCAAACTTCTCTTTCCCGAGCCACATTAACCAGCTCTGACTGGGGGATCCCGAGGCGTTCCCAGGCCAGTGTGGAGATATAGTCTCTCCACCTAGTCCTGGGTCTTCCCCGAGGCCTCCTCCCAGCTGGACGTGCCTGGAACACCTCCCTAGTGAGGCGTCCAGGAGGCATCCTTACCAGATGCCCACACCACCTCATCTGGCTCCTTTCAACGCAAAGGAGCAGCGGCTCTACTCTGAGCTCCTCGCGGATGGCCGAGCTTCTCACCCTATCTCTAAGGGAGACACCAGCCACCCGCCTGAGGAAACCCATTTTGGCCGCTTGTTAATTTTTCTAGTAAGATGTTTATTTTGTTGAGGACAAAAGGACTTTACTAATCATATTTTTTGAAAAAAGTTTTTATCAGAATAGTTTTGAATGTTCTACCTCAGATTTGCGAAGTGATCCACTGTTTGGTATTAAGTGTCTGTCATGTTGAGACCATAAAGTATAGTTTAACCACACAATTAACCATCTGGCCCTTCAGTTTTCATTCAGGGGCCAAAATGAGCCTTGATATGAAATGTTTTTATCGTGATAACATTTTTGCCCATATCGTCCGGCCCTAGTTATATGGCTAGAAAACCAAATAAACATGATGCTTCGAAGGAATGAGTTGATTTTTGACGTGGGTTTTAGTTTGAATTGTGCCTTTGCGTGAGATTACATTGGACTGGCAGGCTGTTATTGTATGAAGGATGTGACTGCAATCCTCTTTGTGTGATATCTGTCATGCTCTGTCAGGCACAAACCATGTCACACTCCCTAAACAAGATCTCTGTTCTTTCTGTTTATATGCATTTCTAGACTAAATCCATCTTGCTCTTGCAAGTAAGCCTATCCACACACGATACAATCAGTGGTTGAACTCCGCTGAGCCCTGTTTGTATCTTCCACTGTATAGTGTTTGGTCACTGTGTCGTGCCCTCTGTAACAACTGCCTGACAAACCTGTTTTATGGAATCACAAGCTTTACAGCTACAGCAACTGTTGATCTGTTGAAGTCAAAAAGAATTTTGACAACTGGTTAAGCTCATTGTAACAGAGCTGTTTAGACTCTCAGGGGTCTTGTATGGCTGTATGACAGTTTGGCGATAAGTAGGTTAAACCACATAAATGGTCTAGTCTGACTTTGTAATATCATTAGCCTAGCTGAGCTCTGGAGAGGTCCCTTAAGAGCCCTATCTGAGATCTGTTAGACTTTTCACAGTGAGAATGTAGCCATAGAAAAGGCAAAAGACTGGATCAGGCTGGCAGACTGTCTTTCTTCTCAGTCACAAGCCCATTTTCTTCGAAGCATCAGAGAAAGGATGTCTGTGAGGTACATGTACCATGATATAACTCAAAGTGTGTGGTTAAATGTTGGGCTGTGGTCCCTATGATTGCAGAAACTGCAAAAAAGTTTTTCATACCCATACAAACTTATCACTTCGTACCACTCCTAACATGAGCACAGAAAGACTGAAGATTTTTTCTAATTTGACAAGCTCCCAGTGAAGATGAACTTTTGCGACAAGCTTTGTCAGCAGCACCCCCTTTGAGCATAAGTGAAACCAACTTTGCCCAACACATGTTATTTGAGCCATTGCATAAGCTGAGGTGTGAACCACATTCATATGTCCCATAGGTTCCAGTGTGTTCTATAACCATTTGATGGCAGTGTTGAGCCCCACACCACTACAGTGTCCTAAGCATAAGTTAATGCAACTACCCACCCTGTGTGTGTGTGTGTGTGTGGGGGGGGGGGGGGGGGGGGGGGGTGGGGGGGGGGGGGTTTGTATGGCTCACCACCTTTTGAAGTGGTCAAAACCACTCTTGGTGTTTCTGACACAGCTTGTATGTGGTGTGTAGGTTGTCATGGTTTTCAAAACTTCCATTTATGTGGGAAATGGCCTTGCCCAGCAGTTGGTCGGTCTCTCTCTCTCTCTCTCTCTCTCTCTCTCTCCCCCCCCCCCCCCCTCCCTCCCAATTCAATTTAGCTTTATTGGCATGAATGTGTAAAAACAATATTGCCAAGCATCATACATACAACATAAGAACAACAACATTTCATTAAACAAGTAATTAAAGCGTAAAGTAAAAATGAAGAAATATAAAAAAATTAAATAAATAAAACAGTAAGTGTGTTTGTTTAAAAAAAAAAAAAAACCAAAACATTCATACATTATAAAATTACACTCTCTCTCTCGATATAATGACGGAAGTCAGATCCTTCAATCATGTTATGAGTGTTGTCGTTGCATAGTTAGCTTCTGTAGTCTCTACTTAAAGATCCCTCTGGGACTGAAAACAGGGATCTCTGGACATTTACAGAATTCCGGATTTCCGTGAGAGGCCCTTACATTTTCCTTCATCCATCACCTCCAATTGCAGTTCTGTCTTGGTACATGGTAGCTTTGTGCTCACCACCATGTTAATACAAGCTCTCCACAGGAATTACTTTACAGCAAAGTCCAATTTTACCAAGTAGGTATGATCCTCAGATGCCATTCAAAACTAGTTATTTTATGATGTATTTAATCCACTAGGTAAATGTTAATACCTCAGTACAACTGTACTTTGCATTACAGTGCTACTGGCTCAACCTTCAAGTTGATTTGCTGGTTTGTCTTTGTCTCTTTATTTTCATGACCTTGCTGCAGGACAATTAGGTCTACGTTGAACTAAAGTATAAAGTGCAGCCCTGTCTACCAGTGAGCGCAGGTGTCCATATAGTGCTGTTCTTTCCAGTTAAGTGGGTATGATTATTGGAGTGCTGCTTTTGATTTTGCAGGTCTGTTAGAGGGAGGGGGTGGAATATGGTGATAAGCGTTGATTTACCAATGATGCTTTCAGTTTTCACCATTTTATTTTGTTATGTGGTCAACTGGAGGTGCAACAGATCACAAAACTGACGGTTAGGATCACATCATGGTTTTGAGACACAAAAAACAACACATTTTAAAATGCGCTACTTTGGCTCTGATGTAGCCACCTCTCTCTATCTGTAGTCACCACTCTGTTGTCTCGCTCAGATCACACATCAATTGCAACTATCTTTTTCACCACTATGGTCAACTGTTAAAATTTGCAGGTTGTCATCTCTTGGCTGATCAGTGGTGATGGTGGATGATTGAATACAACAGCACAGTCAGGATCTGCCATCTTCTTGTCATCTATCACCAAGCTTACTTCTTCTTCTTCTTCTTCCCTTCTTCTATTGAACTACACCTTTAACAGGCAGCTCCATAAGTGGATACCTTTCAAAAAGAGAGTCCAGCAACCCAACCCTGTGTACTGTGCTTAGCCTTTCATTTAGACTGATCAATATTGACTGAGGAACAACACCTTGCACAGCTTGAGTACCGAAAGGCTTGCAATGGATTTGGATTACTCCTTAACAAGATAGTGGATCAATGGTTGACAGCTTTGAACAGCATGGAAACACATTGCACTTCAAGCACCTATTCCAGCACAGTCTGGTGTTTTTTGAGGTTTTCAAGTTAACGGGGTGAATGGAATGATGGAAATTGATGTGAATGAAAAGGCAGTGTCATTTTTCAAGAGTTCCCCTAATAATGGCTGTTGAAATGCCAGTTTGCCGTTATTGTATGAGTGCCTCTCACCCTTTCACCCTTTTTACAGATGGAGGAGGGCAGTCGCAATGTGCGCCTTGGCACACTCATTGCACTCATGGTGGAGGAAGGGCAAGACTGGAAGCAGGTTGAGATTCCCCCTTCAAAGGCACCTCCGTCTGCAGCTCTACCTGCTATACATGTAGCCACTGCCCCAGTTGGGCCCCCTGCTGCTGCACCTCCACCAAAACTAGCCACGTCAGCACCGTGAGTGTCACCTTCCTTCTTTTTAGCAGCTGAAATCTTACCTGTCTACTGTATAGATTAATCATATAACAGTGGATTTGCTAAAACCTCTCTAGTGAATACAGGTCTAAACACTCAACCCCCTGCATAATGTGGCCCTAAGGGTCAGATCTTTTGGGCAGCAGTGGTAATGGGTATCTAAAACATGGTTTTGCTTTGTAAGCTGTTTCAGCCCAAGACTTTGCCCTTAAATAAGCTCGGTTTTGTTTATGACAAGCTTGTTGTTAAAGCTTGTTGTTTGATAGTCATAGTGCAAATTAGCTAATACTGGTGTCCATGGATGTATAAAGAGAACTTTATATGCCGTCAGAGACAGGGCCCTGTTCATTCCTATGAAAGTTGCTCAGTGGCACATAAATTCAAAAAAGTTTGACTTCCATTGTAGAAAATTTCCGCATCACCCATAGAGCAAGCTCACTGGAGACTTCTGTCAGCCATGCTGGCTAACTTCCCGTTTAGCAGTCCAATGACTTAAATGGGGATAATATTATTTAATCATGCAGCTCTTCTAGACTTTACAAATGTTATCGAACGGAAAGGACCAAATTCTGCAAGTCAAACGAGTCATGTCAAGAGTTGTGACTCTCAAAAAAAGGTTATCCACTGTTTTAAAGCCTATGGGGAAAAAGTATTTTGTATCACTTGCTGGGGGACTTGCTTGGGACTCGTCCAATGTTAACCTGATTAACATCAGGTCATTCTAGTCAACAGGCATAAATTTTAAAGATTGTTCTTAAATTTCTTTCGTTAGTTTAAGACAAATTTAAGCTCATTCTATGGCTGGACGGTGTGGCCAAAAATGTTATCACAATAAAAAGTTTCATATCTTTTGATATCGATAATTATCACAATAAGTATCAAATCGTTATTTCTTTCGAAAGTGAAAGTTGAAGAAACCTGATGGTTATTTGTTGTTTAAACTGTTCTTTATGGTCAACACTTGATGCCTAACAGTGGATCACTTCACAAATCTGAGGCAGAACATTCAAAACAATTATGATAAAATCTTTGTCAACAAATATTCATGAATAAAATAAACTAAAAGCTTTTTTCAGTCCTTTTCCTCAACAAAATCTTAATCTTAATAAAAAATTAAGTCCTAATTAGTGTATGATTCAAGAGTATAAAATCAAACATTTATTGAACATTTCTCATATTGTTATTGAAAAAATATATATCGCGATGATTTTATGATGATATGATTATTGTTATTGTTTTATTGTCCAGCCCGTCTTGTTCAGTATGCAGCCATGCTGATTTCAGGTTTTACTGTATGTACCACCATCTAAGAGACTACATTCACATTCCAAAAGGTGTGAGATTCTACCTACCCCTGTTTGCACAATAAATACTGGAAAGCAAAAGAGCTGCCACAGAACAAACAGGACCTGTTTGCTATACAAACATTTTATGCAGAGCCAGTCCACATATTCAGATTTGCACATTGGCTACGTCAGCTTGACAGGGGTGACAGATGAAAAATGGATGTGTTGTGCAGCATGCATGATTATTATGCAATAAATGGGCTATATTAAGGCAGCCAGGTTAAGAAGAACTAAAACTGAGATAAAGCTTGTATCTGAGGTAATTAATAACCAAGTTTTACGAATGCAGGCACTGTAATTTCCTAAAGCTAGACTGAAATGCTTTAAATAACCATTTGCTGGACCAGGACATATTATTGGATACCTACTCTTCTTCCTAAGACTTATATAATAATAATAATAATAAAGATAGGATTTGACATTTTTCTAATAAAACCGTCAGCATTAATGTTAGGCCTTAAAAGCAAAATCATAAAGTTTACTTTACCTGGATCTATTGTAAAGTTGTACCTTACACTCACTTTTTTGTCCAGGTTACGTCTGAGTCCAGCTGCAAGACACATTTTGGACACCCATGGTATAGACCCAAAGTTGGCCACACCCACTGGACCAAGAGGCCTTATCACCAAGGAGTGAGTACAGATTAATGGGCTAGCTCCAAGGCCTGTTGCATGCTACATGTGAGGTGTACCCTCCTTAATGCAAGCATGTCCGAAACAGAACCTCCCTGCTTCCTTTGCAAACCTGCTGACACCAGTTCCATTGGGCCAAGTCTGAGGTTATGAAAAGTGTTTTTTATTTTTAAAAATGAAATGCAATTAAATGTATGGTATGGTAAGGATCATTTTATTTTCATTAAATATTTTTTGATTTTGTCTATATTCCAGGTGAAGTGAAAGTGATCTCAAACAAGCCTACTATGGTGCATGGTGTGGGATGATAGATTTTATTCCCAAAGTTTTCTACTGCTGCAAAAATAATGCTTTGATAAGAATATGATAAGCCATGTGACAGACTCACATTTGACCGGTGATTTACTTAATTTGTTTACACTGGAAGTGATGTGTCAGCAGAAGCTGCTTGTTTAGGCCTGAGGGCATGGATTGAAAGCCAACAAAATGCTGCAGTGTCTCTGAAGGAAAGAAATGTCAGTCAGTGCAAGGCAGGTTATAGCCACAGTGTAGATAGTGTGAATGAAAATGTGAGAGAGACTAGTTAAATGAAAGGGGGGGTTACAATTTCAGATGCTTTAATCCCGTTAAATCAATCCATGTGGTTATATCTTACTATATAAAGCTGTGAACACACACACACACACACACACACACAGCTCTAATGGCTACCTGCTGTCAGTGGGGACCTGATTGAATGCTCGTTACCCACCTAACACTGTGCTCGGGAATGTCATTAAGAACTTCGGTCGCCATAGCAACCCAGTCTCTAGGACCCACCGGTGACCATAGAAACGCAGAACATATGTTTTCAGGGATGTGTGTCTCTGTTAAAGAGAAAATTATATATGAAACTCCAAATACTGTTAAAAACTGATCATCATAGAAATATAGCAAAGCCTTTCCTCTTAATGCATACCTAGATGAAAATGTAGCGAAAATGCACTCATTTAAATCTGGATTTATAGTTTTACCAGTACGATTCCCAATAACAAGTGCATTTACAGTTGAGAGAGCATCTCATGTGCCTTCCTTTGTAGCAAATTTAAAATCTAATGTTTTTCTCAGAAGCCCTTGCTGCCAACAGAAAATGACAAAGGGATGCATGAAGGGAATGCTGTCGAGAAAAGGCTGTTTCAGATGTTTTTGTTTCTCGTTCCTTTGGTATAAAGCAGTAATTAATTGTCCAGGTTAATAAGCACGTGAATGAACGAATGCTCTGTGCTGTATTGGTGTTGTTGACATCAATTGTTTAATTAGTAATGCAGTTTTAATTATATCCCAAGGATTTTATTTGGCATGATTTCTCACTTACCTCTCTTTAAACTATGGGTTGGGCTTGAGATTTGCATAAATGGCTTGCCAGTCCCCTTATTGACACCGAAGCTAGTTAGTTAGCTCAGAAAGTCTTCAGAAAGGAAGGTTGATGTGGAAAGAAAGCAGAGCAAGGTTCTGCAGGAAATGAGAGGTTGAAGAAAAAACGTCTTGAATACATAACTTCAGAAATGAACACTGATGAATACAAATGCATATTAGTTGGGAAAATCTGCTAATTAACCAATAATATGTTGTGTGTCCAGTATAATTATAAAAAAAAAACATATTTGGGACATATTGAGTAGCTAATTGATGCAAACATATTTAAATTGGTGTGATTAAGCCTTTTCCTTTCAGCCAATGTCTAGGTCATATAGGCTATAACTTAGGTTGTGAAACAGTTCTGTTCTTGTTGAAAACCAAATCTCTTTCTGGAGAGAACCGTTTCATATTGGCTTAGTTCCTTCAAGAGAGGGCAGAATAGACTGGATTTCCCTTCCTTTGTCCTTTGGCACATCAGATAAGACTGGAACCAGGGAAAGGTACCCCTCCCATTCTCTGCTGTAGTGAGGCCCCTCTATAGTGGACATGAATAACAGAGGTAACACAACCCAGAGATGAGATAATAGCATGTTGCATAATCCATAGCGAGGTTTAAATACAGATTGGGTACAAAGAAACACATTTTTGTCTCCTTTTATCTTTCATCATTGTCATAAATAGCAACTGTATCAGTGATGCACGTCTAGCACAATAACAGGTAATGGTTTCAATGATTTGTACCCCACAATTGGCCATGCTACTAGTGTTTGTTTCAACTTTCCCAAAGGAATGACTGTACCCTGTGTAAATGCAGGGGAAACGATACCATTGATGTGGAGATTATGACATTTAAGAAATACATGATGTGTATAAAGGACTGCTAAGTCTGATTTTATTTATTAATCTTGAAGTATGACATTAGTTAAAGCTCGATACTCATTTTGAATGTCAACAAGGAAGCTCATTTCAGCTGTCAGTCTCTTGTAGCCAATTTGTAAGGGTCATTATTGCCTACAAGCAGCTTTGGTTATGTTAAAAGTGTAGCTTTTAATGTAAATATTCAGTAGTCATATGTCAAAGTGCTGTATGAATTTTGACAGCTTCATTTATTTCTCCTCCTACTGCTTTCTAGAAGTTTAGTACTGTGAATGGCAAAACTCACAAAAAGGGGTTAAATAGCAGTGGGGGCTGGCCCAAAAGTTTTTTTTTTGTTTTTTAATAACATGTTTGGCCTTGACCAACACAGGTATTCATTAATAAAGAGAGGTTTTCTTGATCCTTGGCTCTCTGGCAAGTATATTACCAAAGTCGCTGATAAAACCTTACAGTAAAACACAGTGTAACAGTACTTATACCTAAGGCTTTGATTTAAAAGAAAGTACTGTCTTGTAATGGAACAACAAAGTCCATCTTGTTATCATATTGTCTCCCAACAACATTGTTACAATGTTTTGTAAAATCTTCCGTTGTTTCAAAAGCACTTGATGCAACACTTTGATTCTGAAACTGTTCCACTGTTCGAACCAACTTCCTCGAGGGTGAAGTGTCGATTTTGGATCCATTTTTCTTTCTTTTGTTTTTTGCTATGTTTATTTGGTGTAGGTGTATTTGCTCTGTATGCATGATGCTTCTCTGTGATATTACTACAGTCTTAAGGTTAAATGACCAGTCAGACTACAGCAATGTCCTCTTTTACACTGTACTCAATTTCAATCATAAAGTTTTTTTTAATTAAAATTGTTGATTATATGTTTTAATGTGGATAAAAAAGGCATATTACACACCAGTCTAGTGGAGCAGGAGAGCAGAGCAGGTGACAGGAGAAGACAAAGTTGATTCGTGTGTGTACATTTGGTGTTTGTGTGTGCCGATGTGCATGTGAACGCCGCCTGGTTCCCTTATTAATATTCTACTCGCCCTCTCCCAGTCTTTTAAAGGCTCCTTTGCTTTGGCTGCTAGTAGGGGTGTAAATGGTCAGTGTGAATACCACATGCCAGCCAGCTACACAAAAGGTATCTATGGTGTCATCGTCATGTGGCCACTGTAGGCTGCTTTTGAATTTATATGTTCTTAATGTAATTTACATTCTTAATGAAGAAAAAGGCGGGTTTTGCACATTTCAACATATAGGACTCTTTCTTTTTTTGTTTTTTACTTGTAATATTTGTCATCATGTTTTTGTTAATGTGCTTGCTCCAGCCTCTTTTTACAAGGGGGGGGGGGATGCAGCTCAGAGAGGGACAAGGAGAAAATAGCCGTGGGGCCCAGACTGTTCCCGGCTATATGGTGGGGTCAGGGGCAGCTCGTCAAAAAGACAAAAGACTGGATGCGTATGGTTAGGTGGACCTCAGTACGCTGGAACCAGGCTCACCTCATACCTGCCCTTCCCACTTGTTTCGCTGCTAAGACCAAAATAAAGTGTGGGTGAAAAACAGTAAAGTGTGATTCCCTCAATCTTTTCTTTTCCCTGTCTGTCAGGGAAAGTCAGTGTAGTGGTCTGCAGTATCCTCAAATCATATCATAACTTCCTCTACTACCTTTATGAAACTGCAGTAATTTGATGTATTTGATATATACTACATGCGGGAAATGTAGCAGTATTAGATATTTATGGCTGCCCCCTAATAGTCGAGAGTCTTAGTCAACCAACTTTTCATAAGTGGGTTAACTCCCCATCACTGGGAAAATTTTTTTGGAGATTGTTGCAACACGGACAAGGCAGCTCGCTTCATGCCCTTTTGTAAAATGTATATTTTACAGGATCATTATTACGGTTTTACCAATTAAAGAGCGATTATTCAATTGCTCATCAGAAACTTATGGGTGATGTTTGTTACAGTTTATGGTTTTGGGCCATAACTCAAGACTTGATACGGTAATTATGAAAAAATTATTGGGATGCAACGATCAAGTGATATTTTCTTTGTTTTTTTTCTCTTTTTTTTTTACCCAAAAGGTCAAATCAACATAATAATGACCTGGAAAAACCTTTCAGACATTATTCAACACCATAGCTCAGGAACAGAAGGGGAGATTGTGACCATATTTCACAGTTGGTCAGTCACTTTTGACTCAAAGGTCACTGTGACCTCAAATTAGGTTTTTAGCCATAATTTAAGAATGAGTTGGGCAATTCCCAATTTCACATTGGCTTTTACAACACAATGTGTAAACACTAAGTAGCGCAATAGGTCTTTCCTCCATCTCATCCATTCTGCCTTTCACCTAAAGCTCAAAGACAGGCTAATCACTGGAATCAAATCATCAATATATAACCTCCGTTTGGCGAAATTATACACTTTATATACATTCCCACATGAATGTAAACTGCAAGTTGACTGGTTGGCGGAAGCAAACAACCTTAGGGTGGTAATTCTAGTTTACTGTAAACTTGAGGTAGACAGAATCCATGAGGTTGGCTGTGGGATTATCTTCAGGTGGGGAAATCGCCCATCAGATCATGATCAGACAAGAAATGTGTCTTTTCACTATGCAGCATTACACACTGAGTGAATAATGCATTATTGTATAATCATAAGCTGTGGCATTTTTGTTTCATACACATGTCATTTCATTTATAATGGTCAAAGCAAAAATAAAGAAATGACTGCTCTTTTCATGCACAAAGAAAGAGTTTGATTTAGTTTTTCATTGTATAAATTGGGCCATGATTAATAAATTCCAGAAGTAAAAAAAAAAAAACTGAATGAAAAGAAAGTTTTACAGCAGCTTGAAATAGTATAGTTCATCTGTTTAACAAGGACATACTGGGAATCAGCCATTGTATATGTGCAGATCATCAAAGATAGACCCAAAACATTAGACTAAAGTATTGCCATTTGCAAAATATTTCAGTAGAGGCTGGGAAGCATGTGTTCCCATGTACATGTTTGTGATTGAATATATGTTAACATAATTCATTTTTCTTCTTATCCAGAATAGTTTTACTGAGCCAATGCTCCAGTGTGTTGACTGGTTTAAGGGTTCAGGTATATTTACAGCTTGTTGTCACTTTATTTCCATCCACATCACTCCTCCTCCCCCCTAGCTCCATAATGGAAACTATCAAGTGGCCTAGTTACTCCTGCAACATCCACAGATACCTGTTTTGTGATACCATGCAGCACACCTGGACACACCACCTGTCACTGAACAGATCTCTGCCTCACTGCCACTAAGAACTAAGTCTCCACCTGCTGGCATGTAAAGCCGTCTGCTCCCAGCGCTGTTCCAAAGACTTCTATTCCTGTCATCTTCACGCATAGACCAGTAAACCGAAATGTGCACATCCCACACAGAAATCATAGTAATCTTATAAGGATTAGGACAACTGCACCAACTCCAGCACCTAGAACAAACACATTTAAAAGGGCCCTCTTTAATGTGAGATCACTGTCAAGTAAGACTTTTATCTTAAATGATTTTATCTTGTCTGCAAATCTAGATTTTATGTTTGTAACTGAATCATGGTTGCAAATGAATGACTATAGCCAGCTAGCTGAACCGTGTCCGCCTCAATATAATTGTTTTAGTCAACGGAGGGTCAGTGGTCGTGGTGGTGGGCTAGTGAGCGTGTATATGAAACATTTTAAATGTCATCAAGTACGCTGTGATGAATTTAACTCCTTTGAAGTTCTCACTCTTAAACTTGGAGGGCTGCAACCTATCATATTTGTTATAATTTATCACCCCCCAGAGCCGTCTGGAGGATTTTTATCAGAACTTCCTGAATTTTTATCTGCTCTGGTTTTAAATTATGACAGAATTGTTCCTTGTGGTGATTTTAATATTCATGTTGATGACCCCACCAATGTTAATGCAACTGACTTTTTAAATATGGCCACTTCTTTTAACTTCAAACAACATGTCAAAGGGCAAACACATAACCGTGGTCATACACTGGACTTGGTTTTTACCCTGGGTGTCAGCATTTCTTCTGTGGAAATAGTGGACATGACCATATCTGACCACAGATGTATTGTTTTTAGCTGCTAAAAAGGGAATGCAGGAAAGCAGAGCGCAGATGGAAAAAATCCATTACCTCAGTCTGAAGAATTTATTAATTAACTACAATAACATGGTTAAGGATGCAAGAACACAGTATTTTTCTGAACTTATTACTACACATAAACACAATCCCAGGTTTCTGTTTAAGACTGTGGATCAGCTGGTAAACCCAACCCCTCCTTGTGCCTCAGCTGGAAGTAATGATGACTGTGAATTGTTTTTATCTTATTTTACCAATAAGGTGGTGTCAGTCAGAGCCTCTATTACCCGTACTGCCTCTTACTCAGAGGTCCCTCACCAGCAACAAGAGAGTTTTTAAGCAGTTTTATCCCATTGACATGTCTGAGCTTTTAAAAATAGTATTACAAATGAGAGTGTCCTCCAGCCCACTTGATGTAATACCTACAAAGTTTTTACTGAAAGTAATGGATTCTGTTGGGCCCCATTTGATCTCTGTTTTTAACAGCTCCCTATCTACTGGTTGTGTCCCTGATTATTTTAAAACGGCTTGCGTGAACCCACAAAATTTTAGACCAATTTCAAAACTGCCTTTTATTGCAAAGATTTTAAGAATTGTGTCCAAACAGCTGCTCACTGTACTGGAAAATAACAAATTATTTGAAAAGTTTCAGTCTGGTTTTAGGAAGTACCACAGCACTGAGACTGCCCTGCTTAAAGTCACCAATGACCTTTTAATGTCTCCTGATGAAGGCATGTGCTCAGTCCTGGTACTCCTGGACCTTAGCGCTGCTTTTGACACCATTGATCACAACATCATGTTAGACAGACTGAGGCACTGGGTGGGGATCTCTGGTACTGCCCTAGAATGGTTTTCATCCTACCTGTCAAATAGGAAGTTTTGTGTGTCTGTAAACAACTATGTCTCTTCATTCTGTCCAGTTAAATATGGTGTGCCTCAGGGGTCGGTCTTAGGACCCATTTTCTTTTCCTTGTATCTGCTTCCCCTTGGACATATTATCCATAAACATGGTATTTCTTTTCATATTTATGCTGATGACACACAAATGTACTTGCCCGTCAGATCCACAGACCCTGGAATGCTGAGTTCACTTATTAACAACTGCCTTTGTGAAGTTAAAAAATGCATGTCAAATCATTTCCTCCAGCTGAACTCAGCCAAAACAGAAATCCTGGTCATTGGGTCCCAGCAGATGGCAGTATTTGATCAAATTCTGCCATCTGCTGGTTCCCTAGTAAATCACATTAAGCCTGTGGCAAAGAACCTTGGTGTTTGGTTTGATAGTAATTTTAAATTTTGAGCAGCACACCACAAAGCTTGTTCAATCATGTTTTTATCAACTTAGAAATATAGCAAAAATTCGATCTATGTTAACTTTTAAGGACACCAAGGATGTCTTCATCTCATCACGCCTGGATTATTGCAACAGCCTTTTCACTTGTTTAACCCAAAAATCTACTGATTGACTCCAGACTGTCCAGAACTCAGAACAAACTAACCAGAACAAAGAAATAGGTCCACATTACCCCTATTTTAGCATCATTACACTGGCTCCCAGTATGTTTTAGAATTGACTTTAAAATTTTATTGATCACTTTTAAAGCTCTTCATGGCCTCTCACCTTGTTATATTTCTGACCTTTTAGTCCCATACACACCAGCACGTACCTTGAGATCCTCGGGCACAGGTCTGTTGTCTGTTCCAGAGTCTCGACTGAAAACTAAAGGGGAAAGAACAGCCTGCCCTGACCCTTCTTAAAACATACTTTTATAGAAGAGCCTTTCCCGATTTTATTTGACTTTATTTTATCCCTTTTATTTTATTTCTATTTTACATATTTTATATTTATCTTAAACGTGTATTTTAGTCTTTTCAATGTTTTCTTGCTTTTATCTTGTATTGTTTTTTTATTATTGTGTTTTGGGTATTATTGTCTTTATACTTGTTAAAGCACTTTGTAACTTGTTTTGAAAAGTGCTCTACAAATAAAGATTATTATTATTATTATTATTATTAACATCACAATATAAAATGATCCCTCCATATATAATTTTTATTTATTAATTTTTTTTTTACCTTAACAGAGATGCGTTGAGTCTGTTGAAGATGTCTCCTACCCCCAAAGCAACCCCAGCCATGGCCGCCCCGGATGCCCCGAGACCCCTCCCCACCCTAGCAGCTGCACCTCCGCCCACAGGCAGCAGACCCAACATACCTCCTCTCTCTGTACCAGGGAAACCAGGAGCACCGGTGAGCACTCCTCTCACACTATCTCTCTCTGTCTGTGGTAGTACAAAGACAATACAAGATGTTATCAGCCAAAGACACTTAACGACCCATCTTCACACTTTGGCTTATGTCAAAGCCCTGATGGGATGATGAGTGATCATCTTGAGTATCCCAAGACTGTAGTTGGCATTTAAACAATTGTATACAATAAAAAATACAAATCTGTATGTTTTTTTCAAAAAGTGGGGTTATTGGTCATTTTTGGTGTTACAGTCCTGTATTCTATCGCAACAAATGACAAGATTTTATCTTTGTTTCCGAATTCTGTTCTTCGTGGTAGCCCTTTTTCGCACCATATTCAATTTTAGTCCTCGTAAGTGTGTATGCTTTAAAATATGACCTATAGATGCAACAAACATTTTCGATCCATTAACTTAAAATGATAAGCTTTTCAATAACATCTTTACATTGTTCCAAGTTCGGTAATATTGAGCAACCTTTTCTATAATGTGTTGTCAGACACATAATACACAATCTGAGCCTGTCAGTGACAATAACAAGTGCTTTAGTGGACGTACTTAGAGGGGGCACAACTGCCCACAGGGATAACGTTGCAGCACGATGTCGACTGTAGCGTGGTCGCTAAATATTGTACAAATTTAAAAAACGGTTGTCCCAATTAGTCACATAGAAAAATACCAAAGTAACCTAACCCCACGCATTTTTGGAGTGATTGATGGCAGCTGAGATATGTCTGACTATCACTGTTTTTCTTGTCTGCCGTCTTCCCCTGTTGTCTTTTTCAAAATGCCCTTTTCTCCTCATTTAATTATTTACCTCCCCTTCCCTCCCACCTCCTCAGGGCACTTTCACAGAGATCCCGGCCTCAAATGTCCGCCGTGTGATTGCTCAAAGACTAACGCAATCGAAGACCACCATCCCCCACGCGTATGCCTCAGTTGACTGTGACATGGCTGCCGTCATGCACCTCCGCAAAAACTTGGCCAATGGTAAAAGCAAATATCTTTGAGGATGTATGTACACAATCAGCACTATTCTTCACATGCACATGTTAGTATCATGTCCTTCGGTGAATGTCTGGCAACAACATCTGGAAGGAAACTTTTCCATGAAGATGTAGATTTCAGGGGTTTCACATGAAACCAAAGAGGACAGTCTTGAATTTGCATTGAAAGAAGCTCCGGTACATGTCATCTCAGTCATGGTCGTCACATATGTCTGGTTCAAACCAACATACACACACTTCTCTATCATTCCACATAGATGATGGAGATTTCTTTTTCTGATACAGAGAAATTGATGTGTATATTACATAGATGTCCCCTGTGTAAGAATAACCCGCCATGGTGTAGGTGAGAGATCACATGTTGAATGCAGCAAAAATTACTAAATCAGATCTCAACATCTCCCGAGGTCTGCATGGTGCATTATGCGATCTCGGAAACATCCAGATCAGACCCTCATCCGAGCTGCTTTTTCTTCACTGTGCACATCACAACATAAAGTCGGTCATATCTTGATAAAACACCCACAGTTAAAAAAAAAATGACTAGACTTATCTTAAGTTTAGAATATGTTTATTACAAAAAGTGAAGATCTCTGATGCCAGCAGCGATATTCAAAAGCAATATCAGAGAATATTCTGATTGTTAAGGTAACCAAATACTTAGAAGTATTAAATGTTGGAAATATGACTGATCAGAGTTTCCAGAGATGGTCCTGGCCGTCAGGTCCTGGCGGTAGCTTTCAGTATGTGCATGCAACTGCTATGTTTACTTCATACTCATAAGACACATCATTTCACACCAATGTATTTCAAGATACAATCACCACAGCGGGTACAATCAGCACCTCTGTCAGACCAGCCAGTACAAGCAAAATTGACGCGACTCACCTATGAAGCCTCATAGTAATCCACCGATCGATTATATTCCAACAAAAATGGTCTTGTTATGTTGTCAAAGGTCCAGATGATCCAATCCAGTAAAAACATTATTTGTATTATTATTATTCCATCAATAAATCCCCAGGGACTGCTGCCGCATTGTTTCATATTTGCCAGCAGACGCGACTCTATGTCATTATAAGCGTAATAACTCCAATTTGAAGGTAAACAACTACGATGGCTTGTATTCAAATTAGCCGTTGAACTCTAACCTTTCGAGTGACACTAAATCCGACCCAATAGGAGCTTACATGTCCGTCTCACAGCCTTCAATAGCCAACGAGAGCCCGTGCTGTAAGGAAGGGCCAGCCCCTATTAGATCGTGGATAGGCCAAGCCAATTACAAGCAAATGTGCCGATGACTGGCACTTCGTGTAGCCAATAAAATTCTGAAAATAACGATATCCAGCTTTAAGTAGGAAGTTGATGATCTACCATTGGTATGAAATTTAAACTTGGGCTAGGTAAGGCTTTATGCTGTGGCCCTACAGTGTTTTCCAGCTAATAAGTCCCAGCTGTAGTTGTCTGCATGCACTTGTTAGCAAGCATTTTCAGGTGGAAATGAAAAATATATTAGTTTTAGTGTGTTTAAACTTATATTAATCAATTCCAGTAGCACTTACAATCATTCTGACTTTTGGGTTAGACACTCCAGAGGGTTATCTTTCATTGAAGCCTAAAACCATGCATATACCCGAAATGGTTCAATTTACTTTGGATATGCCTTGAATAGCCATTTTGCATGAATTTTACAGGAATGTTAAGAGGTTCTTTTTCCTCGACACTCTGCATGTTAAATGAATTAAGCATGTTAAGCTTTCAACACAACAATCTCCAATCAGATCTTCTACTATTTAATTTGTAAGACCTCAGGTTTGGCCGTCTGGGTGCCTACAGCCTCTGCGATGATTTCAGCATCTTCACATCTATCGGTCAGACATGCTAGTCCTGTCCTTTAAGTTTATGCTCACAGTTTCTATACTACACTATCCTATAGTTGAACTTGAAGCTATTAAAATAAACTGATTATACTGATTTTAGGCTAAACCATCTGTGTGAGATCTCATTCTCAGAGCACACCAAACATCCAGACCTTTTGGCACTCACTCCAGAATTTGGTCTTTTGCTAGGTGGTCACCCCTAGTTCAGCTGATCGACCAAAGTTTCCAGAAATTGTTTACACTTGCCTGTTCCTATTCTCAGCCAATATTTGTCTCCGGTCGCCAAATCTTAACATTGTTTAGTACATTTACCTCATTTGTATATCTTTTCTCTACTTCTGTTAGTCCTTTTTTGCTGCAATTTCCTGTTTCCTGTTGTTAGCAGCATAGATAACAATAATGCACCTATGCTACATACGTCTTGTATCTCCCCCAAATGAGCTTTTGCACGGAGGCTGTAGGACCCCCTTTTCCAAGTGTCCTTTTTTATGTAACTATCTGATCACACTGAACATATATGAAACAGTTTCTTTAACGTTTAGTTGGCTCAGAGCCATGCCACCTCAATACACATACAACAAAACATCTCAGAATTAAGAAATGGGGTGGCTGCCTCTGCTAGCTACTAATTTCTCACTCCAGTTCAGAAAGCAAATTGTATCAGTTCAGTGATAATTTGGTAGAAAGGTTTCATTCATATAGTTGTTCTCTTGTGCTTATAGGACAGTAAAGTACTGTACCAGAGTAATCATTTCTCTCTGGTTCAAAGTGTTTCAAATGGATTCTTCTTGTGTTTGACTCTGCGGTGCACCATTTGTGATAAATGACTAGTATTCAGATGAAGGGTTAGTATTATAAGGCTCTTGAAAGACACTAAAGGCCTCTAGAGAAAAGGATATATGTGAGGGCATATATCAGTGTCTACCTGATGTTTTTCAAGCCGTTCTGTTACTTTCCCAGCCTCACAGTCATCCTTAGCAACTGTTGAGCTAACCGCAGTTTCTTGTGCAATACCCATCAGGATGTGTGTGTTTAAGGGGAAGGGAGGCTTACACCACAACCAGAGAAAGGGGAAGTTTGTTCATGTGTCACAGCAGTCATTTTGCTACATTGAGCCAAGAAACGGCTGCTCTCCATGGATTCCTAAAATGTAACATTTGCTTACTTTAGGCCATTTTTCGTGTTGATATAGCAAGAGTGCTTTGTCAATTTTTTAAACATTTAGTTCAACACACTATCACATAATTGGCTTTATTTAGCTTAAATTTGCCTAGCTGTCAAACAAACAGTAAATCTCTCTGAGTCCTGTCTCTGTGATGGAGGAAATGGGATGCCCATTCCAGACCTATTAGCGAGGTGGTGTGTGTATATGGAGGGATTCTCTCTCTCCGGTTGTTTTTGCGGACCGTCATTGTTCAGGAGCAGCACGATTTCACGGTTAGCTCGTTAATCATCCCGCTCACAGCATTCATAACTGTCTGGTACTGCACTAATGGACACTAGTAAAAGTTGGCAGCGATGCCAGGCCCGCTTGGCCCACTGGTGTCACACAAGGAGGGGGGTGGAGTAAATGCTAGGGACTGAGTCAAATGGATCAGCTGGAGTCTAGCTCAACAAGATGTAGGTTATATAGGAGATTTTTCTTCCCTCTGATGGGAATGTGCAGTAACACTCACATGCCTTGTACAGAATACATACTCATATGTCCATTTGTTGTCAGTCCTCTCTTCCAGCCATCTTTCAGCTGTAATTGTGGTAATAAGCTAAAATAAGCTGAAAATACTAATACAGATTGTTATTAGAGCATGATTTTAGCTCACAGACTGTTTCTTCTTTATCCTTTCAGAACAAATCAAGGTGTCTGTTAATGATTTCATTATCAAGGCAGCTGCTGTTACACTTAAAGTAAGTATTGTTCAGAATCACTTCTTTAGTGCAATTTGTTAATGTAACTTGTTCATTTATCTTTGTTCATTCATCCACTAGCTATGTGTATGTTTATAATACACATGGTTATTCAACTCACATGCCCACAAGAAGTATTGGGTATTGGTTTTAATGTCTTTCATTGCTTAACAAAGCCCGTGAACACACAGCAATCTGTAGTTCATACTGTATATGGTTTCCAAGGCAATATCATTTGATCGCTAAGTTCTTTATTACCTCTGCAGGAGAGTTTCTCTGTTGTCCCACTTGATAACTCATTCAGACGATGAATCAGTTGGTAGCAAAAGCTTTGCAATTGTAAGACAAGACTAAACGTAGACTCTGGGCTGTTTTGTTCTCTTTTCTGTCAGTTGATGGATATTCTGAGGACACTTTTAAACCATCCACCTCCCTAAACAATTATAGAAAACAAAGAGACACAGAAATCTCAGAAATGCATGTCTACAGCGTTGAAATTATTGTTTTCAAAATAAATGCTGTAAAGAAAGACGCTTATTGATTAGGATTTGAGGAATGTGTGGAGGGAAATGGATAATCTAGTTCCAGTCAGGAATGTCTCAGCAGCATCTGATACGGACAGCAATGCTTATCTACTTATCTTTATCACTTACCATGGAATATTGGATCTTCACTTCACACACATGTGCCAGACGTCACAGGAGCTCAAAATGGCACTATGCAAACTGTATGTATTAAACGCTGCTAAATGGAGCTCAAGCAGCAGCTGAGAAACCTGGCTGTTTGATGCATGCGTTACAGTAAATGTGAGGAATGTGGAACAAAAAATTGTACATTTCCCAATTAGTGTGAGTGTAAAAGGCCAAAGCACCACATAGCTCTCTCATACGGCAGACACTGTGTTTTACTGTTCGTACGATGTCTCACATGGTAAAAATACCTCTTTGGATTGGCTTCTGTACTAAACTGCAATTCTCTTGTGTAATACTAACATGACATAGTACATCAGGAAGTGGCTTCTGAGGTCACTTTCATTCCACATTTTTAACAAAGTGGTGTGCTTTTGTAGGCAGTCTTTGTTAATAACCCAAGAATCCAACATAAATGTTGCGGGGAAAAAAAGGTCGAAACTTCAAGTTCATTAAAATTACTACGATTAGACATCTACAATGTTTTTATAGATAAAGTAAATCTTTTTTTAAATTTGCTTGCCTTATAGCAAATGTATAGAGGGCTGTGTTTAGCAAACCGGGAGTAAAACAAGTGATTATTTGCTCAAATTAAAGGAAGTTGGACTCAACAGTGATCCTAACTGCTTACCAAAGAACCAGTGGTCCAGCTCTCAGTGAGCGTAACTGCGTTCTGTGATATCATGCGCATACCCTCTATACATTCACCACCAATTCGAATAATGATTTTCCTACATTTACTAAAGAATAATGCTGTTCTGACTGTTATAATGGATTTCTGTGCATGCTATACGTCACATTATAGAAAATTATATTTTTGACTTTAATTAGCTTTCTCACACTCATGTACTGCATGGAAACAACACATAACCAAAGCAGGAAGGCTTTATATTTCTCTTTGTCCAGATATTTCCACCTGTTTATATCTGAGGAACTGGGCTGACATCTGATTTTTTATTTATTTATATTTTTGATCCTAGGAGATGCCAGAAGTGAATGTGACCTGGTCTGGCGATGGACCCCGTGCACTAGATTCAATTCACATATCAATCGCAGTAGCGACTGACAAAGGCCTCATTACCCCAATCATCAGGGATGCGGCAAACAAAGGAGTCCAGGAGATCTCGGCTAATGCTAAGGTAAAGATCACAGGGGTAAGAGGTATCAAAGACCAGAAAACATTATAATCTATTATTTTATAACTTGTTATGAGGTAAGTTAGTGAGAGTGCTTGCTCTGCTGTTGGTGCATGATAAGGTCAAGCTGCGGGGGCGTTCAGTGTGTCAGTTCAGGTGACGATATAGAGTTTTGCTGTTGATTTATATGTGGGAGAATAGATAAGGGAGTTGAGACTTGACTACAGCCCATCTTTTTTTTTTTTCCTCTTGTCAATCACAAAATGTAGATTAGAAATAGCAGTTTCAGATCAACTGGACAGTATATGAAACCTTTGACCAAAAAAGTCATTCATTCTGTCATTATGTTTCTTAGGGGTGGAATTATAGAAAACATAAACCATTCCCCTTTTTGCTGGGGACCCCCTGGAACCACTTCAACGACCCCTGGGGGTCCCAGGACCCCACTTTGAGAACCACTGCTGTAGATAACTGATTATAGTTAGATTTTGGGGTTGTTATGTTGCAGGTCTCAGCTGTTACTGGCCACAGATGGGAGTGCAAAGCAGCAATGGTTAGCTCTTTCTCCTGCGCACAGTCTGCAGCTGGGGACATGCATTTATTCATAGACACATAAATATGCTCTCACACATACACACTTTCTCATTAAAGGCGCAAACACACAGATCAAATAGATGAGTTCCTCAACAAGGGTAATGTATGTAATGTTTCTCACCAGCAGTGACCTGGTTTAATGTTTTGAAATGTTCAAGGCCCTTATTTATGCCTCTTATCTCTCAGTGAAGATGTGATGTCTGATTCAACAGCTAGCAGCAACAAACATGGAAGACTAATGGCTGTCTCCATAAAAGAGTTGTCAACAGTGTTGGAAGACTGCTTTTTAACCTAATGACACAGTGTTAGCAGCAGTAAAGATTAGCAGTGACGGTAGCAGTAGCAGCTGTAACAGTAGTTGCCGTGACAGTGGCTGAGGTAATATCAGTATGGTAGCATTTGTAGTAGTGCAATTTCATCTTGGCAGAAGTGAGAATATGTGTGTTTTTTACATTTTTTTTTTTTTAGGGAGTACACACTGTATGTCTGTGACTGTCAGTGAGAGTTGTTTAGAGAGGGAGTAAATGGGTGTGTGATTAGGTTTAGACATGCTTCTGCTCAGATTCCAGCATTTAGAGCTATGCTGTAATTGCGTAAATCCATGCAAACAGATTTTGCAATAGCTGTGATTGCTTCAGTTCGTGACGTGATGTCTGTTCATCCGGGCAGACATCTTTGTGCACTAATGCTATACTGGGATTTTTAGCAAGACTAGCTGTGAATATGTTGATTTAAGATGTTCCTTTATTGATCCACCATATTGGAAATTCAAATAGTATTTGTAATTAGTAATAGTAAGTTTAGTGCTGATAGAAATGATTGCAGTGTTGCCTCAACATGTGCTTGGTATACATTAGTCGTGTTTCATTAAGTTTTTCAATACAATTCAACTTTTTTATCAACCCTTTTTGGGTGCATTTTATTTGTTTTAATGAATTATTTTTTTGTGCAAAGGACTGACATTATAGAACAAGTTTTTTTTCCTCATATAGCCTATGTATTGTTTATACATAGTAGGGATGAAACGATTAACGGTTTAATGGTAAACCATGGTAAAATTCCCGACGGTTATTATTACCGTACACATTTTAATTACCATGATAACCGGGTACGGTTAACCGCGCTGTTATAATCTCACAGCAAACACTGTCCAGCGTCTCCCAGAAGCAGGCGCGCATGCGCAGAATGCAACGTGGGTTTGTTTGGGTCAATGACAACACGGCGGAAGACAACGCTGCAGAGATTTTTCAGTCACTCTGAAGTCCGGTCGTATTTTAGTTTTTATGAGAGTGCTGAGGGAAATAACCTTCTAGTGAACGCAGGGTGAGTTAACTTTTAGCTTTGGTTCGTCTCTCTGACTTGCTAACCGCGTGCAAACTGAAGCTGTCAGTGTTGCTGCTCTTGTAAAAACGCTACACGTTGTTCTGTTGCTGTGTGCGTCGTGCGTCGGCGGAGTCTATTCGTCCACTGCACATGATAACGCGTTACACAGTTCAGTCAACCAACCAGCATATCTAGAAACGCTACAGACTCCTGTATTTTTGTCAGTTTTTGGGCTCATTGCAGTTACTATCACTGTCTTCTAAAGACTTATTTATTTTCATATAATTGTGCATGGGGTCATTGTATTACCTATGTAAAATAAAATATAAAATCTTGATAGATCTTGATTATTTTCATTTGTTTACAAAAGGAATTTGCTGTTTTATGCAAACAAAATGGCAATTGTATTTGTAGTTTTCAATATAAAACTTGTTGAAATTGTTTCAGTGTGTGTATCAGTACATTTTAATATTTTTTGGCACATTTTATACATTTTAATACCGTGATAATACTGATAACCCTGATTATTTTGGTCACAATAATCGTGATATGAAATTTTCATACCGTTTCATCCCTAATACAGCATTCTTGGCATACAACTTTTATGTTCTATGTTTTATATACACACACATTTAACACAATCCATCACACATAAAACACAAATTAAAACATCTCAAAGCAATGCTTACAGCATGGAACAGAGTGTGAGCAGTTATAGTGTTAAATGATACAGTACATGATATTTTATAACATATTGTATTAATGCAAGATATTGTTTGATTTAATCTCTCTTTACTGTTTCTCTTTTAATTCTGTTTTCCATGTTTTCCTCTCTCTTGCCTATGGTTAACCTTTTGTTACAGTATCTGTTTAGTATATATCACCATAGATGTGAACAGGGTGATAAAAGGGTTTTTCAGTGCTGATGTTCAGTGTTTGGATTTGGTATTATTGTGAGTGTTCTGTATTTTGCATTTGGATGGTGTTCGATTTTTAGTATTTTTTAGATTTAGTATTTTTTAATCTATATTGTGTTGTCATACAGGATTGCAGTTATTTAACATGCATTGCTTATTCTTCAAATTGATGCTGCATTGTTTTATGTATGTTGTCTTTATTATTAATATATAACTTGAAGTCATAAGTTATAACATCTGATGGTACTTAACGATTAAATCACTGCATGAAAACATTACATCACCAATACACACAGCAGCTACTGGAAAGCCTGGGCACAAACACTGGACTTTCCAGCCACTCAAGCCTTCAACATGTGCTTTGCCACCCACTGCCTAAGTTTCATTATGCTGCTGCCTTGAGTTAAATCTACATTTGTAAGCCCTTATTGGTCTCAAATTAAAATCAACATGTGGATTGAATGACTCAGAGAGAGGTTGCTGCTGGAGATTGATGTGATGGAGTGGAACATCATTTTTGTTACTTTGAGCTCTTATCTCAAATGTGCCCACCATACCCTCCTGTTTCTCATGATCGTCTGAGTCATACTCGACTTTCTGTGTTGGTTGTGTCCCTGCATTAACCTTTAAGTGCATTTCCATTTGAATAAAGTTCATGCTGAATAAAGACGGGGTGGCCATCCAGTTGTCTCAACCCAACTGAGAGAAATAACATTGAAAAAGATCAATTCAACAATAGCTTTTCAACAGTAGCCTACTCATTACTTCAGCATGGACTGTAATACAAAGTGGCCTATACAGATTAAAAAGCTTATTCTTGTTCTGTGGTACAACTATGTATGTTTAGAGAAGCACAGGAATGTTTCTTAGTGAAGGTCTAATGGATGTACATATCCATACACCAGAGGCAGTACTGTCAACGTACTTTGCTCTTTATTGACAGATACATTGTGTTTTTTTGCTCTCATTCATGCTCTGATAGAACATGAATTCACAGAACCTGGCTGCAGTAATGTTTTAGTTTTCCACGCCAGATGTCTCATCTTGCCTTCTGGGTGTTGTCAAATCCCTCTCTTCATTTTAGCAATCACAGTCTGATAGTTTCAATTTATCTCAGTGCTTGCTATGGGACATTTAATAATTTTCTTGAACATGATATTAAAAAAACTGACCCCTTTTGCTTTTCACCAAAATCTCTGAATGGTTGACAACTTTGATTGAAAGGCTTTTTTACACTATAGGAGAATTGCTCTGGAAAAGAAGTTTGTCTAAAATAGAGGTCTGTCGTGGCTAGTTGACTAGTTAGGATAGACAGGGTTGGTTTTGGCTTTTAAGCTGACTCTAGCCTAGGTATGGCTTTGTCAGATGATCTGTTGCACGGTTGGCCCACCACTTTTGCCGAGATTAAAAATATCGCAACAGCTATTGGATCGATTGCCATGAAATATTGTACAGATATTCATGGTCCCCTGAGGATGGATTGTAATGACTTTCCCTGTAGCACCACCAGCAGGTCAAAGTTTTTGTTTTTCATGTTTCCAAGAGGATGAATCCCACTGACTTTGGTGATCCCCTGACAATTTCCTCTAGCGCCACCAAGAGGTTGACGTTTGTAGTTTTGAGTGAAATGACAACTATTGGATGGATTGAACTTTGGGACAGACATTCATGTCCTCCTCAGGATGAATTGTAGTCACTTTGGTGATCCACTGACATCTACTACCATCATCAGGTCAAAGTTTCATTTTGTCTAGTACTACTACAGTATGACTTGCGAACAAATATTTGCAAAATGAATTCCATTAGTGCTAATTAGACATTAACGTTAACATGCTAACGCACAAAACTAAAATAGTGTTCCTAGTAAACATTAAACATTAAATCTGGTTGACCTCAGCATGTATGCTTTGTCATTTTGAGGATGTTAGCATGCTGACATTAGCATTTAGCTCAAGGCACAGATGTGCCTAAGAGCTGCTAGCATGGCTGTAAACTCTTTGTTGGTTTAATGAATTATTGTAAAGCAAATTAAAAAAGACAGCTCCTTCCTTATGAGGTTGTGTATTTTGTTGTATTGAACAGCATTTAGTCAATACTGTGTGTGCTTGTGCCTATTCATATTGACGTATGTTACATGCATTTGTAATGAATGGCTTTGTAAAAATACGTCACATAGCTTAAGAGTTTGAGTGATGTGTTATGTTTCCATAGGCTTTGGCCCAGAAGGCTCGAGATGGGAAACTCCTGCCTGAGGAGTACCAGGGAGGCTCATTCAGGTAAGCCTAAGACACACATCATCTCTTGGTTAAAGAAGAGGCGTATAGAAAGTCATGGCGTTATAAAAAGTTATTTTCCCATCTTTCCTCTTCAATCTTTATCTTTTTTTCAATTCAATAAACTGATTTATTTTTAACATAATTCTATATCACAGTTTCCTTTTTTACTCGGTGAAAAGCTATCCTTCATAAATTTCCGCTACTATGACCTAAATCCGGTTTCACAGATAGTCGATATATTATGCATATTCTACATATCATGCAGGCATGATCTGAATGTGGTCTTGGGCGACAAGTACCATTAGTTACTGTGCAGTCAAATGCAGAAAAGTGGAAGGGAGGCTTTTCAACTCATTAGAATTAATGGTGTCATTTGGACATAAATGGGGTTTCTGTGTCAGGCAGGAGTGATGAATTCCTACGGAGATGCAACCCTCTTTGTCCTCCTGAGGATATATGTGGACGCCTTACTCTATTCGTTTTTCCATCCCCCTGAGCTACAATTCATTAAGGCAAACAGCAAACTGCCATCGGGTCAGTCTTGTTCACCATACGCAACATTTATGGAACGATTTGGAGGCTGGTGCTGCTGCATTAATCTTTAATGATCAGTGTTCTATTTTGTAAAATAAGATGTTCACAGCCAATTACATTTCTATACCTATTAATTCACCATCTCATTATTAATTCCCTCACTTAAAGAGGTAATGTTCTTTTTTGCATCAAGGAGCTGGTTTGAGAACCACCATTATGTCCGCTTTGTTAATTTTTATGCATTTCCTCCCCTGCTGACTGATGATGTGATATGTGTTCTGTCTCCTCTCTCTTCCCGTCCCTTCCTCCCTCCCTGCTCCAATTTCTCTCGGTGGCAGTATATCTAACCTGGGGATGTTCGGTATCAGTGGCTTCAGCGCCGTGATCAACCCTCCTCAGGCATGTATCCTCGCCATCGGGACCTCCAGGGCCGAGCTGCGTCTGTGCAAGGAGGACCAGACCCTGCGCACCCAGCAGCTGATGACAGTTACACTGTCCAGTGACGGACGACTGGTGGATGACGCATTAGCCTCACGGTTTCTAGATAAATTCCGCGCCAACCTAGAACAGCCGCAACGGATGGCACTAGCCTGAAAAACAAATTAAGATAGCTGTATGACAGTGATTTGAAAGACAAAGCAAAAAACGCCTGCATGGCAAAGCCTGTCCAATTCTCACACAAGCAGAGATCACTTAAAATGTTGATTTCTATTCAAGCTTGGATTAAGGTTTACGAAGTAGGCTTGTACATGGTATAAACGTTTGTTTTTGACTTACTTCTGACAGATAATCACCAGGCTTTGCGATGGAGGTGTTAAATTGGGCTACTGCTGAGTGTTAGAGGATTCTAGCAGTGATGCCAAATATTACTAAGACAGAAGTTGCATTGCAGGGTGCATCTCACATACTGTAATGGGGTGGTTGTTCTATCACACCAGTGTGTGTGTATATATATATTAATAATGTGGTTATTCCAGTAAAATTTTTATTTTTCAGTTCTAATGCATCCACTCTTCTCACTATTAACATGTGCAAATGCTACTGTAAAAAGATATTTATTACTGAACATCAGTGGCGATGCATTTTCCAATAAGGGTAAAAACCAACATGAATTTCCTGTTTCCTGTAATGTAATTCAAAGAATTCAAGAACTTAATTAATTGTTCATGGTAATATGTTTTAACTTATTATAACAGACAATGTTACATCCCTTACAACTTATTTTGCAAGTCCATGTGTATACAAAATTTTGTTTTCCTTAGATGCCAATAAAACACATTGTTCAACCTTGAAGTGTCTGTGCGCCTCATTAAAACATGTTTCTCCCCACCTTTATGATGTTGCACAGCTACCAGGGAAACCACAGATGTGTAGGTGTGTGTGTGGGTGTGTCTGTTGCTATTTAATTAGAATCTAAAGAGATTACATAACATTCATAGAAACCAATTAGGTCATTTTGCTGGGCTGAGCATACAGGTCAGCTACTGCAGGCAGATGCTTATCTTTGCTGTAAGCATGGGCAGACCAGCTGTTTACATATGTTTCAGCACCAGTCAGGCAGAGCTTATCCTAGATATGTATAAGAAGGATTTGGCGGGGGGGGGGGGGGGGGGGGGGGGGGATTGTTTTGTAAAGATTAAGGAAGAAGTGATCTGTGACCCTTATGTTTCCAGCTTAGATTTCCATTTTACACACCACAGACAGTGGGTGCAGTTAATGCAGTTTGACAAGGCAGGGATCCTGTTTTAAGACATTTTCTGAATTAACAGCTCTTCTTTATGTGCTACATTACCTGATATGGATTTAATACATTTTTAATTCAGAATATAAATGACCTAAGGTGAGTTGTGGATTATACAGCTAGCAGTGGAATAGAGGTACAAAAACTGCATCAATATTTCATGCTATTACGGCCATGGCTGTAGTGAAAATCACTGTGATAGTAACTCCAATTAATGCCCTTTTCTGTTCTGCTTTTACTTCACGTACTTAACAACCCCTTTCCAATCAGAGTGGAGCGAAGACATTTTGTTCTGTGGTTGCTGTGGTATCCGGTAGAGATGTGTGCATTCTGCATTGAGGAGGGAGACCTGTATTTACTTTTCATTCAGTTCAGAAAGTTATACTTGGATTATTACAGCACTTCGGAGAGCCATATTCCATCATCTGACATTATCTCCTCTCAGCGTCAACCAGAGTCATCCCATTCTTTCTGTTATCTCCTCATTATTGAATATAAATGTGTTACTGCTTGGTGAGCGGTGTTCAAACTCCAACTGATAAATTGTGCCAGCATTTCCCTGTGTGCACAGCTTCACCAGCTGCTTGGAAAAGATACAGTGGCTTCACGGATCAGCCTGAGATCAAATCAAATGCAGTAAGAGACCCAACTGCTTAAGAAGGCAACATCGATGTGTAAGCTGCCATCAAAGCACATTAAAAACACACAGCAAAATGGCAGGAAGTGAAACTATTTCTAGGTATCTTTGTTATTTTTAGCACCCATAAATGAGATGCCATATCTGGTGCTGCAGCAGCAAACAGGAAAACTGTTAAAATGCTCAAAGCTAGTGATAACCACGTATAAATCTTCTTAGAGTGTTTAGTTGTCTCATGTTTTTGAACTACCATACCTTTTAGCCTAATGAGACGTTTGTGCTGGGACAAAGCCTCCTTGTGTCATTGGTATGCAGTATCCTTTAGGTTTAATATTTATAATGAAGTAGATTATTTTTGCTGTTGATGTTTTGTCTTTTTTTTTATATATGCCATTGGTTACTTTCCTGCTACATCACATTTTGCTGTCAGCCTGACAACTGCTGGAACTACCAAGCAGAGCGGTTGAACAATGCCCTTCCAAAATATCAGCTCTGCAAATGCAACAACACAGATTCTGACATTTCCTTGGCTTTGCTGTCACAGTGTGACATTTACTCCTCTGACTGCTGCCCGCCAATCTCTGCCCAGCAATCTTGTTATGTGTAACAGCTGGATAAGAGAGCTGCCAGACAGAAGGAATCAGATTTGTTCCCGCAGAGGTTTTGATGAACTGTGCGCGGGGTCTTGAAGATAGTGCGGGGGCTTGAGCCGACGTGTAGGTCAGACTCATGGACACAGCGTGGTGCAGAGTGATGGAGGCAGTTGCTATGGAGACCAAAGGGGGCGAGTGTGTACTTCTGCTGATATTTGGATGTCCTTCAGATACATTTGATGTATGTGTTGGTCCAAATAGCAGAAGTGGGGCAAATTACTGAATTTCATATGTGAGGGCTTTCGACTACACATCCTGTGAGGGGCTGGAAGCACCTCTTTATTGACAAAAAAATAACACTGTCGGGTGTGTATGGTGCAGTGCCCCCCGTCTGCATCCCACCCTTTTCCTAAGCCTCCATGCAGCTCCTCCCTGGGCTGTATCAAAGCTTGGAACCATTTGCATATTGAAAGTCTTAAGGCTTTCAAATGAAATCAAATGGATTTTTAATGGATCTCTCTGTCTTGTCAAGGAGTGTAGGGTTTTTGAGGATAAAATGGGGACCAGTGACTGATGATGAATAATTAGCCCACTTGTAAATGTAACTTGATGGTTGTATCATCCAACAATGAACCATTTCAGTCTGTTTTGCGTCTCTGGAGTCCCCCCTGTCTCTTTCTCTGTTCTCACACAGACACAAAGACACACATTTCCCTGTGTGAACAGGCTTTGTGAGTGATCACCAGGGTTGGTGAGAGGCTTGCTCTCATCCTCATTATCTCACGCATAAGTTTGTTCAGCCATTGTTGACAGGATTTCCTCTGGTCTCCCCGTTTTCCCTTACTACCAGCACTTCTCTATTCAATCATCTTTTTAACTGGAATGCAGATGTTGCTTGAAACGCCTCCCGTAAAATGACCACCTCAATACATCAAAACATTTATGTAATTTCTTAGAAGCGCTCCCATCAGCGCTCAACTTAAGGCATCCTGTTTGAGAGTTCTGAAAGTAAGCACATGTAAATAACCAGAAACAGAGCCCCATCTGCAAACATTACACCTGTGAGATTACTGTGGTACCATCGCCATGCTGACTGAGAGTGCGACCCAGATTGGGACATGACACAGGACATTCCGTGGCTATACAGTACACTGTGGCACTCACTGTCCAAACACGCCCGCTCTGCTGTCCCAGCACCCAAACACAAGCGAGGCCCTTGCTTTGTTGTCATTGCACAAAGCCTGGCCTTTTGAAGCACTCCAGTCATGCTCCCATGACGCCAGGATGGCTCATTCAGCCTGAGACACTGCAGGGTGAGGCAGAGCTCATCTACTGGCCAAAGATACACAACAAGACACACTCCGGAAAACCTCAGAGACCTCCAGCACAGGCAGAAACATAGATTACATTGTACCTTTTCTTTTTTGGTTTGTTTGCAGTTCTCATGTGGTTTGGCAACAAAATGTCTGTGGCCTGTGCCAATAAAGACCCTTTGAATTGAACTTGATTACTGATTGCCTCTCAAAGTTTCAGTTAACAAGAGGTATGTACAAGAAGTTGAACTGTCAGATAAAGACAAAACGCCTGTCTAATAAATCCCAAGATATCACAAGTCCTTCCATAGGTGGATCGGGTTAAAATGTGTGGGAACATAATGCTATTTTTATCTGCACCAGTAGCTGTACACCATCTAGTTCTCAAACACTCATATTCAGCAGATGTTTAGACAGTGATTTGTGGATATCATCTCGCTGCTCTGTACGTATATGGACATCTTAAAATCTCCTCTAGACCATTCCAGTGACTGCTCTGGTTGGAGGGAAAGACACGTTGCCCATGAGGAATGCAGAGGAGGTGCCATTAGTCAGCTATTACCACAAGGATTTCCAACCACAAGGAAGTCTGATGAGAGTGTGTGTGTGTCCTCACTGAGTAACCATCATGGGGAAAAAAATGTCTTTGCTAGATGCGTATTGGCTGACTCAGCTGTCTGACGTTTAATTTAGGGTTCAGTCATACCCACAGCTGTTCACCTCCGGTGTTTTTCTTTTTTGCGCTGCTGTGTAACGTCATACGGCAGTGATAGCCAGATAATAACACTGGAGCCTTGGTTAACGTTTAACGGTTATTTTTCTTTACAAGCCACTTCGCACTTGAACAAGAAATACGACCCACATTCATGTTGATACAAGCTAGTAAAACATGATGAGTTCAACTAAGGTGAACAATTTTACTTTAATAGACAGAAGGTGATTGAGAATTTTGTGTATCCCATTGTGCTCGAGAGTTGCCCATGGTACTCTTTTTTTTTTAATTCAGTCTTGCCTACATGGGACAGTGTGTATGGTCAGCTGTTTGAAAAGAAATTTAGCAGTCCCAGCACATGTTACACATTGACGCAATTAATCATTAAGGAGTGGATTAGACATGAGAGGCAAAAGAACTGGATAATCATTTTTCTTCAGTCTCTCTGTTTCTCTTTCTATCTCTTACACTATTTTTCATTATCTTATCTGTCCAGATTTCAATTGTACATTATTAGATTGGACTCTAAGTCACTTTTTATACACAATTTATACATATTTACACATTAGTCTTCATATCACAAAAAAAACATATTAATCATGGCATTTATTTGTGTAGCGCATGTCTTACACATGAAAAATCAAATGCAGTTTACATTTTTTTTAAAACGTGAACCCCATACAACATTACACGTTTGTTCTTTGGATATTTATATGCATGCTTCTGTGCTGTTTGTGCTTCTATGGCAACAGCTAAAACAGGAAGTGTTTTGCAACTGTAGGATAAGAAGTGTGAATCATTCTCCGGTGGTCTATTTTCTTTTACATTTAATTGTTGGGTGAAATAATGGGTTTGTGTGAATTCAGTCATCAGAAAAGTGTTTCATTTGAAAGTGTGAAATATGATTCAGATCATAGTCAACAGTCCATGTGAAATAGTTAACTGCTTCTGTTGAATGCTCTCCAAACAAAATCTAAACTTTCTCCGAATAAATCTTAGTCTTTGCATTTACCCAAAGACTATCAATCTCTCTGTTTTTCATGGCCATTTGTGAAACTACTTGACTGATCGCTCTAATCAGTGGTTTGCCCTAAACTGAACGTCAGTAATGGCTGAAGGAAGTCGACGGGCTTAACCTAGTGATCCATTGGGAGTACCTTGTTTTTAATGTCTTCAGCATTGTTCCACAAACCCCAATGAGCTCAACGTTTTCCTTTTCCTGCATGTTTATTTGTAAATCATTATAAGCTGTGTGGTGGGGATTATTTTGGGGGCTCTGATGGCAGTCTTTGTGTTCAGGTGCATTCTGGTATTTTCTGCCATGCTAGCAACAAGGCTCTAGGGATCTAGATATGTGCTGGTTAGTTGGTTGTTTTGGTTCGCCATCCACCCAGACTGAAGTAGCTCAAAAACTATTAAATGGATTGCTATGGAGTTTTGTACTGACATTAATGGTTCCGAGATGATGTATCCTAACAATATCGGTGATCCCATGACTTTCTCTCCAACGCCATAATGAGGTTGACATTCGTGGTTTTGAGTGAAAAATCTCAACTGACATTCTCAGTCCACTCTGTAGGAATTGTAGTCATTTTAGTGAACCCTTTTAACCACTTTTTATTTAGTGCCATCACCGAGCCAGATTGTCCAATACTTTAGTTGATAACTAAATACCCACAGAAAACCCTCATTGGGGCACCAAAGGGCAAGACTGCTGTGAGTCTTACATAGGCAAACCCACAGGGGGCCCACATGGAATTGGTGTGGGTTTGACCATGCCCACACTGCCCACATTAAACCTACACCTATACACAGTGGGCCCACACTAGCATGTTTGCTTGGATTACACCTGCTTAAAATCAGCATGTTAGCGCTGTCATTTTAAGCATGTCAGCATGTTGATGTAAGCATTTAGCTCATGGCATTATTGTGCCTAAGTGTAATTTTACATAGCTGCTGACACTGCTGTAGACTCTCAGAACTGTTAAATTACACTTCCTGTGCTTCACAGCTGAAGGGTGTGGGAAGTTTCCGGTTGAGAAGCATATCTGTGTTTCAGAATCTGCAAGTTATCTGTGCCCATGTGATTTTTGATTTTACCCCAGTCCCTGTTTGTGCTAAATGAGCTGAAAAAGCAGTGATTTAGGTGCTCAGCGCTGTTGAGAGTAAAAATAAATGTCATATAAAGGGTCAGTTCACATCAGTTTATGCTGTCTCCATAACTAAAGTTGCTGGCCATGCTGAGCCAACAGACATTCTTGGTTGGTTGGTAAGGAAGTCATAAAATTACGGACCAGTAGTCATGCATTCCTATCACCGTTGTGTTTAAAATATACAATCAGTTGCAAATAACACAAGATAAATTGTTGCTGGGGAGAATCCCGAAACCTGAGCTGACTCCATCCATTATATGGTGATGTGAAATGTTAAACCTGAGAGTGGAGGCAGGTTTGTCATGATGTGAAAGTGGAAATACCCTTGTTGCTGGCAAGTAAAAACAGATGTTAATGTGTGCAACATTGCAGAGTTTTCTATCAGTGTTTTGGATCTATAAAGACTTGAAGTTGTTGGTGAGTCTCTGTGAAATGGTTGTGTCACCTATTTCAACTGGTGGCACAGGATCGTAGTGAGATATACAGCTAGAGAGAAAGACAGATCGGAGCCGAGACAAGAAAATCGGATGAATTGAAAATGGAGTGAGGACTGAACAAAAGACCAGATGGGCTCTCAGAAACTGTTGCTGCCAGGAACATGAAACGGAGGGGGGAGTGGGGGTGTAGGGAAGGAGGGAGACAAGGATAAGCATCTAGACAGATGGAAAAATCACCTTCTGATTATCCATTACAAACTAGAGGCAGGAAGGAGGGGAGGGAGAGCAAGAGAGGAATAGAGGGACTGTGTGAGGTGGGGCTGAGGAGAGGTGGGGCAAGTGTGGGAGTGGCAGAAGGGTGTGTGCTCACATGAGCCACGCTTCCCCTTCTGCGCGTGTGCCACTAGCCTCTGTGTCTTTCGGGCAGAGAATCGAAAAGTTGGGGCAAAGTCTGAGTCAGCTCCAGCAGCTACCACACACTCACAGCAACTCCCTCCACAGTTACAGGTCCTCCTCTCCCTCTCTCTCTCTCTCTCTTACTGCTCTCACTCATTCACTCACTCTCTCTCTCTTTCACACACACACACACGCACGCACGCACACACACACACACACACAAACACAAACCACCCGTCACTCCTAGCAGAGGGAAGACAGGACCACAAGAGAACTGTTACACACCTTGCCTTCCAGCTACTCACCCAGCCATCGCCAGACACTTTGCCCAGGATGTGGACGCTTCTCTTGGGGGTCACCTTTGGATTACTGGCCTCCTCCAGGTCAGAACAACTTAAAGGTGAGGGGACTGTGCCTTTGCCCAGCGGATTGCTCTTTGTTTGGGATTTTTCTTTTTACCTTATTCTGCCTAAATTGTTCCTGGCTGATTGGCTGGCAACAATCCTTTGTTGCCAGATTTTAGGACTAGGCAGTGTTCTTTTTTTCCCTTCTTGAGCTTTGTTGAGAATTTAAGTGAGCGTTCATGTAAAGAGAAGACAGGGAAAGAAAAAGAGGCTATGCTCTGCTGCTGCTGCTGCTGCTTCTTGTAGAACGGATGAGTGGAAGCCGGCAAGAGAGCGTGTGCTACACCAGCACAGACAGGCTTTCGTCTGGCAGTCTGAGACTGATAGACACAAAGGAGACAGGCGCTCTTGCTCACTCTCTGTCTCGCACACATTCACACGCTGGGAAGTGAACCTTATTTATCAGGGTTTTGGATGATAAGTGTGGCTTACACAAGCAGTCCTTCTTTTGTGGCAGAAGCAGAAGTAGAGAGGGTTTTTTTGGGGTCTTTTTTGCTGTGCTGTTACAGCCTGTGCTGCCATGCTTAATGGTTTATTCTCTGACACAAAGGATGTTCAGCAATAGCTCTAGCCCCCCCCACTCAATGTCTCCCTCTTTTCCCTTTGTCTCTTTCTCACATGTGCCTTCTGTATAAGGTTTTGATTGGATTTGTTGCCCGGAGCAATATATCTCTGGAGGTGAAGTTGGTACTGAGTCAAACAGGTCTGGGGTGGTCTGGCTCTTTCCCTGAGGAGGTGATGGTGGTGGGGTTGTTCACAAACACTCCCTCTGGCACTGCGCCAAAGAACATCAAGCTATACCATTTACTAGTATTTAAAGGCAAACAAGAGATACCTAGACAAGCTAGTATGTGCACTGTACCCCCACCCCCCCCTCCCCCCACTGCCGCCGCCGATTCTTCAACATGTGTTTGCCCCCACAAGACTCTTTGTGTGCTGAGGAGTTTGAGGAGCTTTTGTGCGTATGTTTGTGCATGTATCCTGTGTTTGAATGTTGTCAGTAATTGGTGTCTGGCAATAAGTGTTCTACAGCTCGTCCTGGTCCAGACGTTGTCTTTTATTTAACCTGTGGCTCTGTTTTGCCTGAATCACAACATTAAGAGCAGTACTCAGGGATTTGTGGCCAGGCTAGTCAACCAAGATGAGGTGTATGGAGAGTTTGTATGATGTTGTCTGTATCCCCACCAGTAGCAGGTATGATGATCTATTAAGCTGCAAAAGATTTAGTAGTTTGCCTGGTAAATGGTCTTTAATACAGTAGTGTCTGAAAATACCATAAAGAGATTTAAATTTGTTGTTTTTCCCCAGTAGTTAAGTGTATTTAAAACATTTAAATAGTTATTATCTGTAAGACCTTACAAATTTGATAATTTGATAATAATTTATTTTCTCAAACACCAAGTAAACATACGCAGACCTTTCAACTCACTTTATGTAACTTTATCTGATGTGTGCTCTTGTATCCATTGAGTTTCCTATATAGACAGCATGTGGAGATTGTTGACTTACAGCAATACCAGACCCATCATAATTATAGTCCTGCTTCTTCTATGCAAAAGATTAGTCTCTCTCTCTCTCTCTCTCTCTCTCTCTCTCTCTCTCTCTCTCTCTCTCACTCACTCACTCATTCACTCACTCTCACACACACACACACATACACACATACAAACTCAAATACATGCACTTGGGCCAACCTGACCACTGGAAATGTGGCTGTATTCACCTCCTTGGCGTAACGACCTCTCCTGCATACACCTGTGTCATGTTTCAAGGTGAACGGTGGTCAGGGGCCCTGCTGACTGGGACTGGGCCCTGACAAAGAGGGCTTGTGCCTGTACAGGCTCTGAGTACCATCTCCTGCCACCTGAGACTCTCAGACACATGTTTGCCTTCTCCACCAATATACCCTCATCTTCATCTCAACCTCCCCGAAGGTGAATGGCCCTGCACCAATATCTTGTATAAGTCCTTTCCTCTTTTAATTTTCTCTTCTTTACCCAGTGTCTTTGACACTGATTGATCTGGTCTTAGACGGTGCAGGGGTCCTCATATCCCAGATTTCGGCTATCTTTTTGTGTGCTGTTAAGCATTTTAATTACTATTTAAAACCCTTTTTGTGAGTTTCAGCCCTCCCTCCCGTCTGCTTTCCCTCCTCATACCTACACTGAAGTCTTTGTATCCTTGGGAAAACTGCTCAGAAAGAGCTCTGTAATGTACACATATGATCCTGCATGAGGCAGTGAATCCCAAGTCACTGTATCAACAGGCATAACAGCAGATTATACTGGATTTATACTTTGATTTTAAGCACAAAGGATGTGTGCAAATTTCAAGTTGGAGCAAAAAAGAAAGAGGTTCCTTATTACATAGTTTTGCAAACAAGACACTGTGTAGGCTGAATGCAATAGATGAAGAGCGGAGCTAGAGCAAGGGGGATGATTAGCTTAACCATAACATAATGACTGGAAATAGAGGGAGACAGTTCTCTGGGCAATGTCAAAAGTTTCAGTTTTTTTTTTACATTTGTATTTGTGTATGGATTAAACAAACAAGATATGTGTTAACACTAGAACGGCCATGACGGTCATTTTGACCGTTTTGAAATTTATATCTGCAATAACATATTATTATTATTAAATAAACATATGTACCTTCCTAAAAGTGTCTGTATTTTCATTTAAAAAGTTTTTCATATAAATTACACATAAGGCAAAAAACAAATAAACATTTGTACCTATTTCGGCCATAGACGGTCATTTTGACCTAACGGAATTTCGCGGTATTCATTTGTTACATTTCCCGCGGTTGACCTTTGTCTCTCTCACTGTCAACAGAAAGGTCAGTAGCGAGCCTGAGTGTTTTGTGTATATGCTAATTTCTACAAACAAAAAGTATATTAGACTAAATTGGTTGATCAGAAAAAGGGTAATAATAATAAAAATAATAATGAATTACATTTATATAGCTACGTTATCTATAGGCTATATATATAGCTAGGCTTCAAAAATGAATGAGCGAATGAAGAGGAACATGAATGGAACCATGGCGCTGGAGATGCTTCAGGACTTGAATAGTGATGATTCGGATGCAGGGGAACAATCGGAGGTGGAAAGTGACAGTGACGTATCCATTTAAAATAAAAATGTTTTATAATTCAATAACATACTTTTAATTGTTATTATCTTGTTCTGAGTTATGTGGAATGGATATGGAAATATAGCCTATCTGTTGTGATATGCGATAATTACGGTAGACTACTAATTATTATTTATAAATGTATAGTTAAACTTATTTAAATGTACATTTTGGTGTAAATTTTTTTTAAAAGATATCCTAATACAATACATGCAATAATCTCTCAATTGGGAATTTATCATTAAAGATATAGAGTTTGGAATCTAGCGGTCAAAATGACCGTTTCTGGCAGTTCTAGTAGCTATGGAATTCTGGCGCTTCTAGTGTTAACAGTTAGCCTCAGATGTGTTGTTTAGTGTATTTTTTAATTTCCACCCATTTCCCCAGTCTGTGTGCTAAGCTATAGGCTAACCATCTCCCACTTCTCAGCAAGAGAGTGAATAAATGTATTTCCCAAAATGTCAAACTATTCTTAAAAAAAAACATCATAGAAAACATGAATTAAAACCATTAAATAAAGAATAACCACAAACAAAAGGCAGATATTCATGAAAATATGTACACAGTATCATGGAAAACTGCTTTTTGTTCGGTTTATAGTGCTAATATTTCACTTTATCACTTTATAGTGATACCAGCTGGTGAAAAACTTCAGCAAGGAATGCTTAAGTGTGTAATTTCCACTAAAATCTCATTTATCTTCAAATCGGAATGCTCAAAAAGAATGCCTGGAGGTCAAGTTTCTTATCAAAGATAATTTATTTGGATTCATTGAAACCTTTAATTTAAATGAGAGCTTTAAGGCCAACGTTTATGAAAAGACAAGGGGAGAACAAGTATCTGCACTTTCTGTTTGAAAGAAAGATGGGCTGCTTTCAAGTGTATGTATGCATGTTTTTTATTTCTAACATGCCATTTTCCTGTGACAGGAAGTGATACGTTACAGAGAAAAAACAGACAACGAGAGTCCTTCTTGTGCCACACAAACATATTTGCACCAGATCTCTGTTTCATCTGTCCCACTGGCCCAGTGGACCTGTGAGCAGCGGAGGGAAAGAAGTGTGACAATGCAGGACACTGGAGCATTGTGGGGGTGATGGTAACAAGGTCTCTCTCCAAATCAGCTGATGAACTAAACTAAAAGGATGTTCCAGTAGTATTGAGACATACAATAGATGCTCTGTTCAAGCATGGGATTCCTGCTCTCATGATATTTTGAAAGCTTTAGTGAGAACATTTTCAGTGTGTGCTTCTGATAAAGACAAGAGGAAAGAAAAATGCAGATAAGATAATAAAAAAGAAAACAATGTGGTGTGAGAAAACTTATCTCTCTGAGCTCCATGTCATGGTTCTTCAAAAGTTAAGTTAAAGTGTGTTGTGTGCATGCGCATCTGTTATCTTCCTGTGTGTTTGCGCACCTGCATGCAGGGGGTAATTTGCACTTTATTGCTGGCATAGAAAAGACAAACAGAGGGTAATGAGAGAAAACAAGAGAAATGGAGAGACGGGGGGAAAGAGATTTGAGTGGAGAATCAGGCTTGTCTGTTACATCTAGAGCAGCTGGAGGTTTTGGCAAAACGCCATGTTAAAGCTCCCTTACTCTCAGGTTCTGTACACCCAGACTTTGCAGTCTCCTTGGTTTCAGCTCTATTAGGTGACAATGGAGCCTTTGGGAGAGTCAGTTCCTTGGCATAGCAGGCTTCTGGACTGTATAAAGACACCCATAACCATTCCCTCTGCATACTAATGATTATGCCTCAGATTCACGTCAGCCCCCTTTTCAGCTCACTGATGGTAAGTTGTGCTCCCTTTGATCTCTCTGGGCAGGTTTGCAAGGCCAGGGCTGTTGTCTTGTTTTTTA